TTGTATTTATAGAAACCCTAGAAAAATAAGTTTAGTTGAGGCTTAGCTTGGGCAGTTTTAAACCACTGTGAGGGGAAGAGCATTGCAGAGGTTTACATATATTGGCTTTAATGAAAAATTGCTCAAATGTAACTTTATTCATTGCATCCTGAAAACCTACTCTCTAGTGTCACCTTATTAAATAACCACTTCCGTTTACCTGAATTGCACAAGTGTGTTAGTTTCCATTTGAAAATACTACCATAGAAAATAGAAAAATGTTTTTATTAGGTTCATAAATCCCCCCCATATTGCACCATCATCAAACATACTGCAGTAGGCATTAGTTGGCCTTGAAAATGCCTCTGTGAGTAATACTGTGTGTTACTGTAGTTTGGCCCTCGATGCAGGTCAGTCTAAAGTTTCCCTCCATAGCTGGTGCGATGGCTCCGACAGAACACTTCATCACTTTCCAGGTAGAGTAGGAGTCAGGGCCAGGAACAATAACTTGTCATCAGAAGACATGGGCAGAATGAAGAACTGATTGAAACTCATAGGAGCATGGTATATCAACTGAACTGTGGGTGTACCGTTGAACTTGTTATGCACCTAGCTGCAGCGAACCCACACACTCCATTTTCTGTCAGTCTTTGACCGCAGAAGCTTGCCCCACAGCGAGCTCTCATCCCGCACATCTCGTGCGTGCACACACAGAAAACCTTCACAAATAACTGACTTCATTTCAGCTGGTCTTCTGGGTGACCTCAGAGAAAGAACGGCAAGTGGGGGACTGAATGGCCTTTTTTCATTTGCTTTACCTCTGTCAACCAGTGGGAAGGTTTCAGTCTGTCTGTTTTTTACTTTCCCCTTTATTTCTTCCCATCCAGAAAATCACTGAGGCCAAACTGTGAGTGGCATTGCTTATTTTTACATCATAGCAGAAGGAGTTAATTGTGTTTAGTGTGATGATAAACAGACTGGAAGACTGCAGCTGGTGTCAAAGCAACCATGTATGGAATCAATCAAGGAGATGTTAATGTCTGAGGAGGTGTATTTAATATAGTGATGTAATGCTAATTAGTAGGCCACCAGGAACACATAGCAATTATTGCCAGAACTTGACGTATTTATGTTTTTTTTTTCATGCACTTACTCTGTTTCATCACATATTGGTGGAGAAGAGACAGAGGACTTTGAGAGATGCAGCTCTCTATCTTAAAACAGTGTCAAGACACTCTGTTTCTCTACCTCTTTCTGTTTCTTGCGTATACCTTCCATTTGCTGAAAAGAACCTGTTTGCTGTCCGAATACTGCTGATCCATGCTGATGACTTTGTTACTGGATTATCATGGTTAGCATCATCCATCTGTTACTGTGCAAGAAGATAACATGGACAAGGAAGAACACACAATAAAGAAGAAATGCTTATCTGCACCCAAAACATAACAACACTATGACGGACCAAAAAAAATGCTCATTATATGATAAACTCTCAGATCTTCATAATTTGCCCTATTTTATTTACTTCACTTGGGTCAGAACAGTTCTTTAATGTTGTTTTTATTTTTCACTATTTACCTCTGCATTCAGTTTAATAAAACAGTTTGGCATTTTGGGAAATATGCTCATTCTCTTTCTTGCCGAGACGTGGATAAATATGAAGCTGCAGCCAGTTAGCTTAGCATAAAGGGGGAAGTAACAAAATCAATCACCCAGCACTTCTAAAAAATAAATGTTTTATATCTTGTTCATTGCAAATACTGAAGTATAAAAAAGGTACGCCGTTCGCGGCTGTGCGCATGCTTATAGGCAGATTCTGTCAGAGCCGTTATCCCGTTGCCAGTCTTTATAATAAGTATGTCTGCGATGATAAGTCAAATAAGTGAAAATAGTTGTTAGGCCTAATGAGTTAAGCTAACTGGCTGATGGCTGTAGCTTCATATTGCCGTACAGACATGAGAGTGAATATTTCCGAAAATGTCAAACTATTTATTTGAGCTAATAAACCAGTGAACAACTCGCCTTAGGCTTACAGAATACGAGTTATTTGACATTAAGAGCCAGTTGAGCAAGTAACAACAAAAAGAACAACAACAACAAAACAAAAAGACTGCAGGCCTTTTTTTTAAAGATCCAAATAGATAGCATATAACAGTACAGTAACAAAGGAGGCAAAAGGAAAACTAATTGCACGCTTCGTTTAAATCAGTGGTTTTGTAAGGTTAGCTTTGAGGCTAGCTGTATGATTTCTGTTGAGCTGTTTTTGTATCCAAGGCAACATGTAGGCTTCGTTGGTTAGCTTTGTCTCTTCACAGCAGGAAGTTCCTGTGTTTGATCTGGGCTTATTCTGTTTGCATGTGTCTCCTGTTGGTGTTTCAGTTTCCCTTTATATTACAAAGCACATACCTGTCAAGGGGACTGGAATCTTTAAAAAATAGTCTTTTGGTTGCAGCGTGCTCTTACACCTGTGATGGACTGGCAGTCTGATGAGGCATTTTCCCTACCTTCTGCCCAAAGTACATTTTCCCAGCCACTAACTAACCACCATTTGATCCACCTTATTTTATTATACAAGCCAGTTTGCATAGCCACAGGGTTAAGAGAATGTGTAGTATTTATCTGTACATGAAAAACAGAAATGTAAATATGCTTTTAGTCAGTCATGTTTGAAGAGAGGAATTATCTTGAGAAATGTTGTTTAATGCAACAGTTTGAGATACCGCCATCATAATGCTTACAGAGTGTTTGTATTATTGGCTACATTTAAATGATTCATGCCATTTTGTGCTACGTAAGTTTGTTTGTTTTCGTGTTCAGAGATATTTTTTTTATTCTGAGTTGACAACCTGCATTATGCTTGTGGAGTTCATGTGAACGTGACTTTGATTCAGTCAAAGTAATTTGTTCTGTAAACCATCTCCAATACATTAGCATATATGTGCTTTCATAAGACCTGCATCCTGCTGCTTGAGATGTCTTTCACCTCACATGCTTACATTAGCTCAAGATGGTGTACATGCATCCATCAAACTCATTTAAAATATTTATATATGTTATAAAACACCCAGAGTACTGTCCGCTGCCTCTGTGGTTTTATGTTTATTACCTATAAATTCAAGCTTCTTTGCTTGTTAAACCCATTTTAATTCCTAGTAATGAAGTCAGGATAGGCTTTGTAAATGCTGCAAAACAGTCTTTCTCTTCAGAGCAGTTAGGCGTTTTGCTCATGCATTTTTATTTGTTTACAATACTTTATTTGACATATTAAGTCAACTGTAAATCAGTTTCTAAAATGTTTAAAGAAAAGGTTACTTTAGACATCATTTCACAAGTCTCATATTAAAATAAAATCCCAGTTTAATTATGCAGGAAAAAGAATTACCCAGTAAGAGATCATATCTGCAGCATATTGCTGTAAAATGAAGAAGTAAATTAACAGTGTGCGGAATTTATTAGTGACACATTTTACCTTTTAATCCTTGATAAAATCTTTGCCACCCCGTTGAATATTTAATGTCATTTGTACAGATTCATAATTGATATATAGATAGGCATTTCGATTTTCATTAGCATACTGGACACTGTAGAATGACAGATGAAACCTGATGTATCAAGGTCATAATGATACCAAATCTTTTCTTCCTTTTCTTTTTTTTAAATGCATTATAAATATGAAAGCACCTTTGTTCTTTGTTCTGCACAAACTCCCACTTGCGCTACCGCAGGAAAACAGTGGCCTTTCCACTGAAGCATGGCTGCAGCTTTCATGTCATTTACGTCTCATCAGTGCTGTTCCTGGTGAGCGATGATACTTGATATTCAGAGGGTAGCTTTGTCTCCTCAAATTAATCAGCTGCTCCTGTTTTCTTGTGCAGAGGAGAATCACCAGGGAGATCTAGGACTTGTTGGTGTAATGTACAATACTATAACAAAGGCAGGCGGTAAAACTGGAATCTGGAGCGTGTGTTAAAGTTAAAGAGGATTTAAGATGTGGGCTTTTGTGATCAGTGGGATGTGAAGTGGCATAAATAATGGAAAATCCAGGAAACGTGGTGCTGATGAAAGAGTACAGTAGGGCTAGAATCTCTGAGGCATGATTTGGATGATGGGCAGAACAACAGTGGTCTGAGAATCATCAGAGAAAATGGTGGATGCAGCTGTATGGACTTAAATGTAAAGATTGTGGAAAGATGAATGAAAATGTGTTCCTAAGAGACAGAAGAATTGGCAGCAGTTTTACATTTAAAGCCACGAAGGCCTTTGATATGGGGGGGGGGGGGGGGGGGGGGGGGGGGGGGTGTGTGTGTGGGGGTGTGTGTGTGTGTGTGTGTGTGTGTGTGTGTGTGTGTGTGTGTGTACTGTTGTTTCAACTTTGTTTTATTGTGATGCTCTATCACTCTATACTGTATATTTATGAAAACCTCAAAATTCATTATTAGTGTTTAGTTGTGATGCACTTGTAATCATTAATTTAGAAAGAGTTTTGTAAAATAATTACACTATTATTATATCTAGGGCTGCGGCTAAAGGTTATTTTTGATAGTTATTATAGTTCATTATATTTTATTGTTTTATTTTACAATTAATTGATTGACCATTTACTCTTACTCATTTACTAAACTAAAAATGCCTCAATTTAATTTAAGCACCATATTGTAATGTTTAAGAAGGTTAAAGCAGCAAGTTTCTGGCACCTTTGCTTTATAAATTACTTTGTGATTGATTAATATGATATAATTGATTAATAGTTTCATTTGAACTAATTAGTGGACAAATCATTTCATCATACTGTCAAAGTACAATACCTTTCAAAGTAAATAAACAATCACATTGAATTATTAGCTATTCTTATTTGGAGTAATAGTGGACATCATGTTGCTGTCACAAAGGTAATTGTAGTATTGTAGTGACGTTAATTCAGATGTGTGTCGGATAGAAACTAAGTCTCAGTGGGATGTGTGGCATGTCCCACTCTTTCCTTCTGGTGCATCTCTAAGTGTTGACTGGATTGTGTTTGACAGATATGGAGTTTGGAGAGCGGCTGGCCTCCCCATCATCAGCCCCGTCCTCCCTTCACATGGCCTCCTCTTCAGCTAGCTCCTCCCCTGCTCCACCCCAGACACCCTCCACCAAGTGCAGCAGCCCGTCGCCTAGCCCCGCAGGCAGCTCCCCTCTCACCACCTGTGGTAAGTACACACACCCGCTACATAGATGTACACAAAGTCAAGGCACGACATCAGATATGGCTCACAGTTAATTGTTTTGATGTGTTGTTTAGTTTCCAGTCAATAGATTTTTATCATTCTGCCCTCATTTTGGACGAGGTTGTGAAAATCATTTTAAGTAGGTTAAGGTTCGAGTGTGCAGTGTTGCAAACACATTTATAGTCACCCACAAAATAGCCTTAAATTCACAAGCTATTAATAAATGTAAATGAATGCACTGTTCTGACTTTACCGTCAGCCTGCGCTTTATGACCACACTTCCACACAAACTCTGAGAGAAAGAAATTAAGAAGAGGCAAATCTATTTGGAGGAGCTGTCCAACTAAATTTTGTGGAAAACACTGAATTAAAATGGTGCAACAATAAAGGGGCTTAAGACACCTTCTCCCAGCCTTTAACATGTTTCAGACAATTTTGATAGGAATGGAAAAGCTGTTGAATTAATGAATGCCAACAATTAAAAAGCTTTGTACGCCCTTGTGGATGTCTTTTGACAACCTTTAGCTCCAGTTTATCCTGTGTGATTTGACATGTCTGTCAGCCTCACAGTGTGCATGCAGCCGCCGACATCCTCTTGTTTTCTCTGAATACTAATTGTGGTCAGGGCCATTATGCATTGAGCAGCGGTGATGCATAAGCTGTCAGATTACCCCTGACCACAAAATAATGTGCAAATTTACATACTGTGGTTTGTGATTATTTTTTTTTTCTCCTTCATGATAAGATGCCCTAAAAAGTAGTGTTTTTCTTTGTCATGCTATCACAATGAAGAACACATTAGAGACATTCTCATAAATTATTCATTTTCAGAGCCCCACACCAAACGTGCACAGAAATTTCTCAGATAATTTATTTTGGACTGAACACTAAATGCTGAAAGCACATTGGCACCTCTGTAGTCACATTTGCTGTTATGACTATCAAGTAAATTGAGTTCTTTAAAGAGATTTCTTATCCCCTGTGGAATGTAGAAGAAAGATATTGCACAACCAGTTGATGGTAACACCTCTTTGAATAGAATCATACTCAAGCTTTTATATTCTTAAAAGCTTTGCAATTTCTTAAACTAGGTGAGACAAAAATATATAATATATAATATAATATATATGCAGCACTTCCCAGTCTGATTCCATTTTGACATCTTAGAAGAGGCATGACCTTGTTATTTTAAAGAAGCTGTTGGAAGATTTCACAGTTTCAGTATAGAGTATATATTATTATATAAAGCCAAGGCTAAAACCTTAGCAGCAAAATAATATATTGTATTTAGACCTTTTGTTAATTTCACTGTAAGGTTAGTAGGGGTTACAGTTGGGGTTTATGGTTTGATATATATATATAAACACTTACAGCCAAATAAATGTAAAGCTTGTAAGCAAAATGGTGTTAATAACTTCTCAGTAAATTGATCAACGAGTAATATCCACTGTTACCTTGCCAGATGAAGAGCAGATAATGTCCCGTCACTTCAATAGGACAATATAGAATCAGACATTGTGTTTACACAGAACAAATCGACTGGACTTTGCTTTTATCATTCTTCCAAGCTCTGTGTTCTTAACAAAAAGTAGGTATTAGATCTAGTTAATTGGGCTAGACTGGTGTCTTTGATAGAAATAGTCCTGATAACAAACACTGCTGTTATAAAAGGAGAAGGTCAACTTGGCATCAGTAGCACAGTCCTTTATTTGAGAGTACTTTGAGCAGGTGTCCTTTTCTCTCGACCTTCTTTCTTTCATTCAGTCATTTTCGTTCTCATTTATTTTGCAGGAATCATTATTCTATACATCAAACAGTGGTTATCCACTAATAATTTGTAATACGTTTCTAAACATGAATGGGTGTGCCAGACCCTGAGTCATTAATGGTTATCACTATGAATAGATTCTCAGACTCAGACGGCTGTGTCTCTTATTTGCGGGAGCAATTTTGAACAGATCAAGCAGAATCCCTAGCTTAGTCTTCAGTTTAACTCTGCACTTTCTTTCTTTCTCTTTCTTTTTTTTGTTTGAAGCATAAAATATTGACCTAAATGATCTTTAATGGTGTTATGGTATTGATGAATATAGAAATTAATTATTAAACCACGACATGTTAAATCCATTGTTGTGCACTGTACATGTAATAGTGAGATTAACTGATTCATATATACATTAATAGATTTATATTTTAAGAATCCTTCAAACCATGTCTTTTGTTCTGCAGGCCATTTGCTCCAGATAACGGGGGATGAACGTTTGAGTATGTCCGGCAATGGTTTTCCTTTAGTCAGCCATCCGGCTTTTGGGCTCTACACATCAAGTTCAGGCCGCTCTGAGTTTGGAGGCCTAGGAAGTCTGGGTTTGTCTGCTTTGGCTGCTCACTCCCAGTTTGGTGCATTTCCAGGTAGGGAAGCTCAAGGTTCAATGTTTTATTTTATTTTATTAATGGAGGTGAGGAGTCAAAAATGAAAATAAAAATTGGCTTAATGTTAAAGTCTACCATGAAAATTCTCTTAGGGTCTGACAGGATTATATCTTTAGTGAAATACTGTATACTTTTGCCTCGTCCATGAAATGCAATCTACATGTAAGCATTAACTTATGTTGTTAACCTTTGTTCCAATGGGGAAGGGAAAATGTGGAACTGCTCTTTGGGAACTGTTGCTGTAGCTATTCTACCAGATGACCTCTCCTTAGACTTTTCAACTCTCAATAATAAAGGGATGTCAGTGGTTGTGATTAGTGCTGTTGGATAAGGTTAGATAAAGCATGCTCTGGCAGATTGGATTCTTCGCATATCTAGATAAAGTTTCTATTTGTGCCTAACTGTACAGTATCTCACTCCCCCCCCACTGCAGACTGGTGGCGGCCATCTGAAGCACATGCCAGAGGAGCAGCAGCCTTCTTCCCCCCTCTTCTGGGTCTGCATCCTGTATTTGCATCAACCTTCAAGAGCCACGATCCCATTAACTTGCAGTCACGTAACTCAGGTGAAAAAAAAAAAAGCTAGCTCCTGCCTTAGGTCATACACGTTATAGTAGTTTAAAGAGGCTCTACAAAGAATGATTCCATAAACCTATTTTTTCATAACACTAAAATGCTTCTATTAACATTATCAGACTCATTGTTTTCCTAATGTCATACTGCCAGTTTCTGTAGGCGTAAATGGAACAGTGAATGGTAGGAGTGCCTCTTCTCCTACTGGGAAGTCTGCTGTGAACACCAGTTCATTTCCACCAACGGGAAACACGGAGAAAACTAAAGCTAACAGTAGTCGGACTCTAAAGAGCAGCCAAGACCTGCACCAACTGCACCAGAAGAACATTCAGAAAACAATTGAAAAGGTTAATACTGTATGAAGCACTTGAGTACAATACACTGCATGAAAACTCACTTCACTATTGAAATGTTCCTGGCAACCTTTCTCCTGTTACTATACATCCATATAAATATGGACTTTTATTTTTGTTCAGAAACCCACCAAAAGACCACTAGAGACCTCTAGTGTGAGTGGCAGCCAATCGGGATCATTGTCAGATAGCTCCAGTGATGGTGAGGGGAGCAGCACTGACCCTGATGACATGGAGGAGGAGGAAGAGGACAATGAGGAAGATGAGGATGATCGGAGCAATGACAGTGAGGACACTGATTCAGAAAAAGACAGTCAACGGAAATGGAAAGTCAAGGTAGGTGTCTCTAACTTGAACTTCTGGTTCTGTTTAAACATTTAGCAGCATACGCAGTTTTGAAAATGATTGGACAAAAAAGCTTGCTTTTTTACTTTATAGAATAATGCATGAAAGCATATTGCTAGAGTGGTATGAAACTAGTAAAATAAGTTATTTTGTAAGGTTTTGTGTCCAAAGAGGGAACGTGTCCCTGTGTATAACTGTCCTCTGTTTAGTAAATGTTAGTTGGATTGTCAGAAGCAGCCATGGTGGTGGGTGGCAAACTGGATGTATTTGCTAGCTGACAGAGCCGCCACTGTGAGACTCTCAGTTGGAGCTGACATGACATGCTGTCTTCTCCCCGTTTTCCTCATCCTCCTACTCAGCGGCTGACACAGAACACTTCTGAGAGAAAAAAGAAGAGACCTTCCTCGGCCGATCAAGACAATCACCATGACATTGTTCCTTTGACTTCCGTTTACCGCCTCCAGTCCTCTTCTCATCCAGCTGGCCTGCCACAGTCCACAGCACTGTTCCTTCAGAGCTCCAGGACCGCAGAGGAGGAAGGCCAGCAGCACATCAGTGTCATCCAGGCCACAGGGTTGGCAGCCAGCAACAGTCCTCTAGCACAGTCCCACAGGGAGGCCTCTCCTCTGCCCCCCAGGTCCTCACCCAACCCCATCTCCTTCTCCAACTCACCAAAGCACCGCTCTCATTCGTCCTCACCAAAGCATAGCTCCTCTCCCAAACCTCTTGCTCTCTGTTCCCCTTTGAAGCCCCTGTCTCTGTGCTCCTCACCCAATCCTCTCTCCCTCTCTTCTTTACCCAAACCACCATCGCTTTTAGCGTCACAAAAGCCCCAACATAAACCAAGATTCTTGATGCCCTCTCCAAAGCACACACAGCTTGTTGATGGCATGAAGGAGAGCAGCGCAAACCTTCCAGATGCAAGATTGCTACACTTGAACAGTCTTAAATTGAAACAGGTGAGTCGTATTTGTTATTCACATTGTTGCATTGAAGCTGAATTCTGCCTAAGGTACAAAAAACAAACGACTGTACTGAAGCATAAACATATTCCTCATCCTCTTTTGCAATAAAAGGAGCTCTGTTTTTATTAATTGTCCATCATTGTTTCTGTCATGAAATAAATAACAATCTGTGGGTTCCCAGTGGGCAATAGAAAATGAAGGCTTATACACTATTATCAGGGCTTTTATTATACTGCATGTGAGTCTGACCGCTACATGACTAGAAGTGACAATGAATTTAGCTCTACTGGGAATACTTCACAAAATTGACAAGCAATTAGCTCTGTTATGCTTTGGGATGTTTGTTATCAAGAGAGAGAAATCGGCCTCTTTTAAAGGACTCTGTTATTGTCAGTATTTTGAAAAGGAAGGAAAATGTAGCAGTCTATAACAAGAGGGTTTTAATTCATATGATGGTGGTACATTAAATACAGGCTTTTGATTGCCAGAGTATGACAATAGCAACAAATACAAGTTGACAGCTAAAGTCGCATGATGGCACTAAGCCAAACAATTTGAAAATATTTCCCACAGCAGCCGTTTTTTCTTTACTGTTGTTGACAGGCTTGAGTCTGCTCTTCATTGTCCCTCTTTCTTATTACACCTTAAATTCCTTCTTTCACAGCCCACAGCGATGTAATGTGAGTGACAGTTTGTGTAATTACTTCCTTTTTTTAAAAATCTGTTTCCCTTTCTTTTTCATTTTTATATATGAAGCCCCTCCATTCCAAGGACTCTGTGAAGCAAGCTTTCTCCCTGCGACCTAAGAGCCAGAACTGGTATAAAAGTCAAAAAAATTCAGCACCCTTTAAATCGTTGCTGACTCCGCATAAACTTTGGTCAGATACGTTGAGCAGTCATTTACTGTCTCTCCCACACAGCATTGACACCAGCCTGTTGCTGAACCACCACCACCCTAATGGAGCAATCCACAACGCAGTTCAGGATGCCCCCTTGGCCCTCATCACCAAACCCCGCAGCCAGAGCAGTACCCCTGGTAGAAAGCCCCTCCTGGCAGCCACCAGCCCTCCGTATCCCATGCCCATCAACTTGAGCACTGGCTCCAAGGAGATGTCGGGCAGCTCCGCTACCCCGCTTAAATCTTCTGCCTCATCGGGTCTTGCTCACAGACCGAGCAAGACTAAGAGTCCCAGGTCTCTGCGAGCAGGGAAGAGCCTCTCTAAAACCAACTCATCCTGTCCACCTGTCGACTTGGTCAGAAGCAGTGAGTCTGATATCCACAGCAGCAAGGACTCAGACGACTCTTTAGGAGATGACTACGATGACGACGACGATGAAGATGATGAAGATGATATTGAGGATGACGATTCTGGCAGTAGCCTTTCAGGTTAGATTAAACCGACCTTTTTTCTAATTTAATACAGAAAATGCTATTCATAACATGTTATTGCAGATATAAGCTGTTAAATGAAGCGGCTTCTATGAATTAGTGCTTGGTACTGTATGGTTTAGTTGTGAGAAGAATGCTAATTAGGATATCATTTCGCTCTCTCTCTGTTTGCCTCTGTCACGCTGGAATCCCCTGCAGAGTCGGAGAGTAATCTGGAGAGCGACTCTGATGGCTCTGAGGATGATATGAAGGAGCACGGCGAGACAGAAGCTGATAGCGACACAGAGAGGACTCCTAAAGCGTCTTCTAACAAGTCCACCTCAAACCTCTCAGCCAACTGCTCCCTGCTTAACCTGCAGATCATCAAGCCTCCTAGTTTATCTAATAGTCTACTGAATGCCACCACAGGGGCACTGAGTAACCACCGCACCCTATCACCATCCTTCACATTTGCCACACTGCCAGGTAACAAATCTGTGTGTGGTTAAACACCAAATACATCCAGGCTGTCAGGCTTTTTCAGGCTTCAGGAAAGTGTTACTCACTTAGATAACAAAGCAGGATCATGACCAAAGTCAGCATGGTATTTATTTTTCCCCGCACTTTATTTTGTTGTTAGTCCAGGCTTTTTTTGTACTTCCTCCTTTTTGCTTATTCAAACTATCCAACCTTTCACTGGAAGAGGACGCTTATTTTTCCAGTATGAAAACATGGATGTACATTTCTCAATAGTTCCAGGTTAAAATGAGCCCTCTGGAAGAGATCTGTTGCGTCATCGGTTTGATCGTCCCCAGCAGCTTTTGCTCCAATAACCCAGGCAGATGCTTTGTATATCGATACAGAATGAGTCACGGAGCATATCACATTACTAACAGAGATGGATTCTGACTTGCCATAATGGGAAAGTATTCATTTCTTGTTCCATTTAGTCCTATTGCAGTGTAATAGAAGAATGTCACAGCTGTATGATGTGATTTACTTCTGATGATCTTAGAGAAAGATTTAGAAACGATTACATTTCTAAAATAAGCAATTTATATTTAATTATTTTAATTTGTTTAATAAGTGTTTTATACTTCGACCACTCATCACATAGTAGTGGTGAGGCTTGTTGACCCTAAACTGAGCTAACCTATTATGCTGTACCGAAAAACAAATTCCACTGACTGGTCGTAACTATCCAAAATAAATTGATATGTCTAACAGGGACTCCTTCTGTTGGGGGGTTGATATTTGCAATAATATGCCCCCCTCCTTATTTTGTGTAGTGGATATATCTGTAAACATGGCAGATTTGTGGATTTCCCCCTGGAGGTGTGAAAAATGCTGAGTCCTTTTCTCCTGTTTTCTAGGATCAGGGAAAAGGAGGAGAGTAACAGATGAGCGAGTTCTGCGGTTGCCTCTAGAGTTTGGGTGAGATATTGTGCATGCTTCATACTTCATATTAAAAGAAACAAAGTTTTTATGGTCTGACCATGTTCCATTTGTCCTTACTGTTGTACTTCCTGCATTGTTTGTTTTATGCAATTGGTGTTATAGTAAAATGTCAGCCCACTGAAGGCTGACAAGTGACCTTTGCTAAAAGGTTATCTTTACTTTGTGGTGCAGCCTGAGACACATGATCACCCATGACAAATATTATCATACCTCCAGGTTTGCCACATAAAACAGACAGTGTTTTGGAAAACGTCATTTTTGATAAGTAGCTTTCAGTGTTGACACATTCACCCCAGTAAGAAAAATTAAAAGACACAGTCCATTATCTTAACAAGTACTGTCATGAGGCCATGGGCAAGATACTTATCTGTCATCTTTAGTTATCCACATGTAAAAATGTGTAACTGTATGAATGTGAATGTGAAAAGGATGTTCCTGAAAAAGAGAGCATTGAAATCCGTCTGAATAAATAAATACTGTAAATGTAAAAAAAAAAAAACACAGCTAGACTTCCTGATTTGAGGACAGTGACGTCTTCATCAGGAGCTAAGTAGAAGTAGACCACAAAAAACATCCTTGCTTTACTTTTAGGGGACTTTTTTAAAAAAAAAACTTAAAAACAATCTTGAGCAGTAGGTCATAGTGGGCAGGAAATGAATTGAGGCCCAGCAGTTCAGCATCAAGTGGTTAATTGCATCCAGCCTGTAACACAGACATGCAACATTAGCAGCTCCCTGACCACAAACTCTGCAGCAACTGGATCAGAGCCCCTTTCATCTTGTAGGGATGTTTTTCATCAGCAGGTTCACAGGAAACAGAGGCCACAAGACTATATATCAGCCCCCCGCTCTGGCTGGGAGAACAGCCTTCATGTCTTTTCTGTAAGCCATGGCTGCTCTCCAGCGGAGCTCATGGGAACTGAGGGGTTGTCCCACTTGGCACACGGCCATTTAGGAGTGTGATAACTGAAAGGGTCAGAGGACGACAAGGCCACAGACTACACAATACACAGCTGCACAGACATAATTTACAGAGTTTATCTCCTTGTTTGCTTGCTATTATGAATGAGTGTATCTGGAGTGAACTTATATGAGAGAAACATTCAAAGTATAAAAGTATATATTAATGATGACTGAATACAGCTGTACAGTGGTTATGATATTGTTTGTGTATTAACTGTGCGGTACCTTGCATTTACTTTTTGTGCAATTTCTTTGTTCCTCAGGTGGCAGAGAGAGACCCGAATCCGGACTGTAGCAGGTCGTCTACAAGGAGAGGTAGCTTACTTTGCTCCATGTGGGAAGAAGTTGCGTCAGTATCCTGATGTAATGAAGGTAAATCTATAATGTGTAGCTTTAGATAATTACACATGATCAGTATAGCATTATGTAATTCCCCTCAATTGGGAAATTATGACTGAAAGTTAGCTTTGTTTTAATTATTATGTATTATTATTTTGTCTTCAGTACTTACTCCGTAATGGAATAACTGAAATCTCACGGGACAACTTCAGCTTCAGCACAAAAATTAAAGTTGGTGACTTCTATGAAGCCAGAGAAGGACCGGAGGTAAATGTTTGTTTTAATCATGGAAAAGAAAAATATATGTAATAATAGTAACAGTAATAATAATGTAAGAATATATAATATAATATAATATAATGTAATGTATATTTCCATCTGTCATTGTAGTCATGTGATTTACTCCCAAAAATCTGAAATTTGTAATTGATGAAATTACAGTGGTTGGGCTCCATTGGGTAGAGGTGGCTCCCCATGTACCAATCCTGAGTGCTCGCTGCACCAGCCATGGGTCAGACTCCGACCTGTGTCCCTTTGCTACGTGTCATCCCCTCTCTCTTTATATAGAGAGTTCTTTAAAGCAACAAGGAACTTTCATTTTGTGTTGATTCTGGCAGCTCCTGTGGACAAAAGCAGTAGTGTTTCCACCGCCTCGTTTAATTTATTTCAAGGGGAATCCAACCAAATCCGACCCAGTGGCAGGCACTAAGAGTAACCATCAAGAAATAGCCAGTCTTCTCATTGATGGTCCCATTTGCTTATGTAGGTCATACAGAGATATTAGTAGGGAATTTAGACAGTTTCATAAGCCAACATGAAAATCCATTTAAATGAAAGTGATAAGTAAGTAATCGGTCTATCCATTTTTAGTTCTAATTGTTGTTAGGGGCTTTTGGTTGTTTTTAAGATATTTTTGGGGCTTTTTATGCCTTTATTTGATAGGACAGGTAAAGATAGACAGGAAACGGGAGAGAGAGAGTGGGGGGACACATGCAGCAAAGGGCTGCAAGTTGGAATTCAACCCGGGCTGCTACGGCAAGGACTCACCCTACATGGGTTGCGTAATCTACCAGGTGAGCTTTGTTGGTCTTAATCGGTCTCTGTTTTCCTTCTAATAACCCAGGGTTTACAGTGGTTCTTGCTGGCAGAGGATGAGATTGCTCCCAGTATCATAGCGATGGATGGGAGGCGCAGCCGTTGCACAAAGTCTGAGCACCAGCTGATAGCTGATGGCGCTGGGGCCAGACAATGGAAATCTCATCCTCTTAATATTGGTGAAAATAACTTCCAAGATGCCAATGATGCCAAGCTACTACGCAAACTGGAGGCTCAAGGTCAGTGTACTTAGAAACCCCCAAAAAATCAAGTTGTGATAGGTTCTTTGTAGAATCACATATGGTAAAAATCATCTTAGAAGAGGCAGCAATCTTTATTTCTCAATAGGCCATTTGCCATTATTGCACATAGCTTGTTGCAAAAACTCTTTCTCTGGAACTTGCTGAGAAGAATTTGAGGGCGGGTAAGTGTTCTTGTGGGTCAGTTTTTGTTAACGTTTTTAACTCGGTAGCGTCTGCGTTTTCAGTAACTTGTATTTCATCATGTTGCAGAAATAGCTCGCCAGGCAGCTCAGATCAAAATGATGAGAAAACTCGAGAAGCAGGCCATGGCTCAAGCAGCCAAAGAGGCCAGGAAGCAACAAGGTAAAGATCTGCTGTCCAGTCCGATTCTTCTCTTAACACTACATGATAATGTTGTGTGCACGCCTAATTTGTTGGTATCTTCCAGCAATAATGGCTGCAGAGGAGAGGCGGAAAAAGAGGGAGCAGATGAAGATTCTCAAACAGCAAGTAAGGATTTCTCTTTCTGTGTGCATTGTTTAATTTACCGTGCAAAGCTTCATAACTGTCTGCAGCTGCTCTGTTCATATTCAGTTTGTGCGCTCCAAGGTGAAAAGGTTTTAAGCACAGTTGAATTGCTTTTGAAGGAAGTTGCTATCATTCAAAATGGTGCACCTTCCTCATCTGCATAGACCCACTGTACTTCACCCCACCCCCTGCCACCCCCCTTCCCGTCCCTAACCTCACCCCCACCCCCTCCACGACTCTATAACATGCATGACTTAACAGTTAATTCATTTGATCTTGCCCTCATCCTTTTACCAGGAGAAGATCAAGCGCATTCAGCAAATTCGTATGGAGAAAGAACTCCGTGCACAGCAAATTCTCGAGGTTTGTCCTGAAAGTTATTGCAGAAACATTCTAAAACACTTCCTTTCTGCTGTTGATAGGATTTTTTAAAAACCCAACCAAAGGCTATTCCTAAATTATGTGGTCCCACTTTTCGTCACATCTAGTGAGTACATGTGACTAATGCTTAATTGGTTTTTTGCAAAAGTGCCATTGAATATGAAAATCTCCTCAGACCGTGATGGAGCTTAATACAAAATACAGTATTTCATTAAGTAAGAGGTGGCCCAGAGTTTACCATGGCTAGGTGAAATACCTATTTTGCATTCCCTCACTAATAGAAGCTGTGAAATATTTTAGCTTTTATAAATCAAATTTCAGTTGACACGCTTGGCAAGCGGCTCTTAACAGGATTTTGTTGGGGCTATAATTACTGATAGAAATTTTGCTTAATTTATTCTCACTGCCTGCTGGTGTTTCATAATAACTACAGCCAATTTGACTTTCAGTGTTAATAGGAGGAAATAATCATCTCATTGCTCAAGATTTCAGTATGTTAGATTTGATATTATCAGTGAGCCACTGGCTCTATTTAGCTTTCTATGGAATATTTTCTATTGACAACATTAACAGATAAACAAAAAAAACAACAATTTAACAAACACATATCAAACGTATACATAATATTAAGTACAACACTTAATTAATATTTATTTTACAAAACAAATGTCACTTCACTTCACTTGATGATTTTAATTAAGAAAATGATCTTCCAAATCAACTGTTTATTCACTGAAAGCTTCCTTGTGGTGTATGTACTCTGTGTGTTTAATCGTACATCAGTTGCTTCTGTTATATGACTTGAAAACATCTGCTTTTCATGTTTTTCAGGCGAAAAGAAGGAAAAAAGAAGAAGCAGCCAATGCCAAAATATTGGAGGCTGAGAAGCGAAATAAGGTGAGTAAGATGACATTCAGGAACAAAGTGTTGCTTCTGGTTAGATCATCACTACATCTACCTATAAAAAGTTTTCACATTAACTCAACCAAGTCTAGAAGTCCTGTAACTTTATCATGCTGTTCTATATGAGGAGGCCAGACATTTGTGTGTATGTGTGAGTACTATAATTGAGGTCATCTTTTTTTTCTTAAAGGAGAAGGAGATGCGCAGACTTCAAGCTGTCATACTGAAGCACCAGGTAGGTATTTTGTCCACGACCACATTATAACAAAACCATTCTTACCCTGTGCTTAAGCTGAATGTCCTGGAGATTGTTGCTAACTGATGATCATTTGTACTAGCCCAATTGAATTATTTTGTACAATATATCCTGTCAAATTATGCTTTGGGATTCTTGGGTGTGTTTTTATTTCAGCTTACCGTAGACCTTCTTTTTTTACAGCAGCCATTTTGACATGAAATAGTAGGGTAAACACAGGAGTTACATATGATACCAATTAAGGTTCTGTTCTATGCAGGTCAAACAGAGGCTGTTGTGCGTGTTTTAGTTCGGTATAATTGGTAACACCTGTGTTTACCCTACTATCTCATGTCATAATGGCTGCTGTGAAAAAGTTCTGTTGGTTGGATTTTTTCTTGCATTGATTTTCTTGTGTGATTTTTCTATTTCTTAATACTTTGCCAACTCTTTCTACCAGGAGTTGGAGAGGCATAGACTAGATATGGTATGGGTATGTTTGTTTCTGTACATTTAACACCATATTGTGAACGTGTCGTGATAAATGGTTGCCATCATAGCAATGCGTAAAGTGTAGCGTTGGCTGCAGTCATACTACATCCTTTCGCATGGCTTTTCCAGAACAGTGCACTGCAAACGTCTGTGCTATTTGTCTTTCAGAGAAAACACATCCATTATCTGCCCGATATGATCAAAAAATGCCTTAGCTGCACAGAAAATGTAACAGGATGCAAAGCACTCTGATAGACTGAAAGAACATTGTTTTTGTTTTGAATTGATTAAATTTAGGCACTCAAAATCCTTTTACTCTGCAACATGTGAGCCAACTTTCTAATTCATTCTATCATCAAGTCAATATATAGTTTGTATTCTTGCCAGTGATTTACACCACTGAGTTAATGGAAACAAAATTCTTATTTTTTAATTTATTAATTTTCATCAGTTGAGATTTAAAGGTCCAGTTTGTAACATTTAGGATGATCCATCGGCAGAAATAAATATATTATTCATTTGTTTTCATTAGTGTATAATCACCTGAATATAGGAATCAGTGTGTTTTCATTACCTTAGAATGAGCCGTCTGTATCTACAGAGGGAGCGGGTCCTCTTCTGTGGACTGCGCCATGTTGAACTACAGTACAGTCCAATTTCTACAGTAGCCCAGAAGGGACAGACACTGGCTGTAAATAGGGCCATTCACATTTTTTTGCGAGTTTTGCGGCCACCATAGTTTCTCCTACACAGGCCTGTTTTTATTCCCAGGTCATCTAATGGAGACATGAGCGGTGTTCAGTTAGTTGGAATTTGCTAGATGCCTCTAAATCCTACACACTGGTCCTTTAAATGTTTTACCATGGTTGTTCATTTGCGTCATTATTCTCACTAAATATATCTTAACTGTAAGGGAGGCAATGATAGCACAGATTAAGTTAAAGTATAATAAGTTAAATGTACTCTCAGGGATGTCTTGATAGTTTCATACTACCTTGTCCATCAATTGATTATTAATTCAGTGTTTTGCTTATCCCTGTAACACTTAATATTTGCTGCTTGTAGTTCTCAAACTCTTGGCCTGTACCTTCCAGTCTGCCGCTTGCCAACATGCTCGGATTAATAATTGCTGTTTCTAACTTTGAGCTTTTGTTTTGTGTATGCATCACTACCTGCAATATAGCTTTTTGTCTGTCACTGTGTTCCATTTGGTTTAACTGTTATGTGTTTTTCAAGTTTAACTAGAGTACGATTTGCAACATTTTTATTGTGTGATGATTGTGACAAATGGTGATTCCGTGTTTCTTCTTCTACTGTGCATGGCATGGGGTTCATACTGTGTATTGCACATATGAGCCCGTTTCTCATCCAACTGTTAATAGAATAGAAACTTATGTGTCTGTTCTTTGCCAGGAGAGGGAAAGACGCAGGCAGCACATGATGCTCATGAAGGCTGTGGAGGCCCGTAAGAAGGCAGAGGTAGGTAACGCCTTATGTGCTCAAGTTCTTTTGTTATTCATGTGCTACACTGTGTTATTGTGTTTTCTTTTCCTTAGTAATTTCATGTGAATGTGCTGTAGTCTGTAGTGGTGGGATATGATAAGACAGTAGTCTGTAGCGATGTCAATTACACTTTGTCTTTTCTTGGCTGTAGGAGAAAGAGCGTCTGAAGAAAGAGAAGAAGGATGAGAAACGGTTAAACAAGGAGAGGAAACTGGAGCTTAGAAGACTGGAACTGGAAAAAGCAAAGGAGCTTAAGAAGCCAAATGAAGACATGTGTTTAGCAGATCATAAGGTATTCACACACTGTGGAGCTGCTGGCAGATGATAATGAGAGTCCGTGTATGTCACCATGGATAGCCTCCATCTGTGGAGTAGATGTGTGTGGAAAGATTGGATTTTCCAGCAGCACAGGTTTTTTTGACATGGAAATCAATCAGTATAATCACTGTAGGAGCTATAGGCATGGAGATTAGAAATGCTTTTGACAAATTAATGGTTTCATTGTTTCACTATCAGATCTACCAAAATAGATGCATAATATCACTGAAAGCATCTGGAATTGATTAAAAAGAAAGCAGGTGTAGGTCAAAATACTGCCACCAAGTGGCTACTGATGCCATAACGCCAACCAGAGTATTACTGACCAGATACATGTAATCAAATAATTCTGGGCTTTATTCATAAAACAATTTTAACAGGACAAAACAATTAATACCAGCACTGTAAGAAACTCTAGAAAATGTAAGGTAACAGTGACAAAATAGGTAAAACTTTGATAGATTATGATATTGTTCTCTATTACATTGTTATTATTGGGCTCTATTACGACTAATAGTACAATTATTGCTTTGGCAAGGCAAGTTTATAGGACAAATCAAACAGCAGAATAAACATTACACTGCAGCCTCTGTGCAGTGAAATAGTCCAAGGTTTAACTTAATAAAATGCAGTGACAAAGTCTTAAACCCTGATTGAAAAAAAGAACTGATGGTTGGAGGAGATCACATGTTTTCTGCGAGTTTGTTCTGGATATGTGGAGCATACAAACATAATGCTGCTTCTCCATATATAGTTTTAACTCTGGGGACGATAAGTAGACCTATCCCAGACCATCTGAGAGGTCTGGGCAGTTCATATTGGAGAGGCAGATTAGAAATGTATTTTGAACCTAAAACAGGGACAACAAGAATATTTTTAAATCAATTAATTTCTAAGTCCTGCAGACATAAGTCCTTTAATTCTTAATTAGCTCTTAAGGTGATAGGATGCTGATTTTGTGATTGTCTTTAATATATATTATTTGTGTACAGGGACTAGATAAAAAAATTTGAGTGATGATAAATATAATCATCTCTATAATAATGATGTTATAATGGTTTGTATTTTTCTGCAGCCACTTCCAGAGTTGTCCCGGATCTCTGGTCTGGTCTTACCAGGAAGTACCTTCTCTGACTGCCTAATGGTGCTGCAGTTTCTTCGCAGCTTTGGGAAAGTCCTGAAGTTAGACCTAAATCCCCACATGCTTAACTTAAGTGACCTTCAAGAGGGGTTGCTCAACATAGGAGACAGTATGGGCAAGGTGCAGGACCTGCTGGTGAGCATGCTCTCTGCAGCTGTGTGTGATCCTGGAATACCTGCAGGTCACAAGGTGAGAGTCTGTCAGTGCACAGTTGTTGAATTGTAAAGGGTTCCTGTACTTTTAATTTACATGTGTATATGTGCACACATATGAGTACAAGACCACACCTGCTACTTTTATGTGCCCATAAAATGTATTGATTCGGAGGTAACTATTGCACAAATAGGCAGCACCTTTTACTGCTTCATTTATTGATTTCCACTGCTTCTGTAACAAATATTCAGGCACTGTCTAACTAAACAAAGAGTCTGTTTAGGAGGGTATCAGTGTTCAGGGCTGTTATTACACATATACATTTAAACCCTGCTTTTAATTCATTCCCTAAGGCTATTTGTCCATGCTGTGCTGCTGATTGTATGTGGTTTTACATGACATTACATATTACACACACAGGCATTGAGGGGGGTGTGCATACAAGGATAAGAGATAGCAAGAGTGTCAACTAAAACATCAATCATAGTTTCATAATAACCCCACAGCACTCAACATACTTTACTTAACAAAGAGGCAATTGCTAAAAAGGACAGTGTTTTAGCAGACTCTGTGTGCTGTTATGGGCTTTTAACTTGGTGAAATAATGAAGCATTTGTTTGTTCATCATTTTTGAAACACTCTATTTCTATCAGAATAAGACCGCCTTGGGGGACCACCTAACTAATGTGGGGATCAACCGAGACAATGTGTCTGAAATCCTGCAAATCTACATGAAGGGTCACTGTGAGCACACAGAGCTGGCTGCTCTGGCCCTCAGTCTGAGGACCAAGGACTTTCAGGCCCACAGCCCTTCACAGAAAGCCTCCATGCTAGCATTCCTGGTTAATGAGCTCTGCTGCAGTAAGGCTGTGATTAGGTGAGGTGTCTTTGTCTTTATTACAAATAAAGCTAAATGTTAATAGACTATTCATAGTAAACTAAACGAAAACCATGAATAACTTTCTGGGATTTTAAGGCTCTGATACGTTTGTGTTAAATAAATCATTGGTGACCTGTGAAAATGATTCAGTGCACTGTATAAACAAGTGTTCCTTATGTGCCTGAAGCAAACAAGTTAATCTCTGTGCCTGAGAGTGGAAGGTATTGGCGTGTTTTATTCATGGAGGCTTCAATTTTAATGGAATAACAGAAGTATCAAAGGGAATACGACAAACTGTGGCCTGATGGACAGTTTCACAAGGTTGCATCAAACTACGGGTCATCAATTTTTCATTAGTACTAGAAACACTGTGAAACACATCTGGTGCACAGTGTGGTCCAAACACATCATGTTCTTGTTATTATACATAAAGGTCACAAAATTGTCTTTCAATGTTGTCTGATACTTTGCAGTGAGATCGACAAAAACATAGATCACATGACCAACCTGAGGAAGGATAAGTGGGTTGTCGAGGGGAAGCTTCGCAAGTGAGTATTTGCATCATCTATGCTGTTCTTGGAAGATTCTGTGCTTGTGTTTGAACATTTTGTGTTAGTGAAGTAGATGACGATGCTGAAACAATCTGGATTACTCAGCCAGCCTGAATTGCACATGAACATGTACTCTCCAATCTGACTGTCCATTTTTGTCTTCCAAGACTGAGGAGCATCCATGCCAAGAAGACAGGGAAGAGGGACAGCAGTGCAGGAGGAGAGGACAACCACACCTTTGTCATCCCCACCGCCAGAAACAAATGCAAGAGGAAAGAAGGAGACAGTGAGGAAGACGAGGATGAGGATGATGACAGTGAAGACCAAGGAGATGATGACGATGAGGAGGAAGAAGATTTGGTGGGAAAAAAGGGAAAGAAAGCAGAAATATGTGAAGAAGAGGTCAGTGACACCATGATGCTTTTACTGGAACCAGTTGCTAAATCAGTGTTTGTTATAATAAATGTCAGCCTCACACTAATGAGATCTTTTCATCTAGGATGACAGTGTACACTCGGCCAGCATGGAGGAGCTGGAGAAACAAATAGAGAAAACATACAAGGTAAGTTAAACCCTATGAGATACTACTTGTTTTTCTCAGGTTGAGCTCATGAATCAATTTAATCGCTATATTTTCTGTCTCTTTAGCAACAGAGTCAGATCAGACAGAAGTTATTTGACTCATCTCAGTCACTGCGCTCCATGATAATTGGACAGGATCGCTACAAGAGACGTTACTGGGTCCTTCCACAGTGTGGCGGCATCTTTGTGGAAGGCATGGAGAGTGGTGAAGGTGCAAACCAAAACTGATAGCTCAGATTTAATTCACTTGTGTACTGTACTACTACCTACAGGATAGAAATGTTAATGTGTTTTTTGTGCACTTTGCCTGAGCTGACTTACCTGTTTATGCTGACACAGGTTTTGAAGAGGTGGAGAGAGAGAAGAAAAGACAGAGGACTGCCCAAGTGATCAGAGTAAAAGAAGAGCAGCTAGAGGAGACAATGAAGCCAGTGGTCTCCAGCCCGACACAGAGCACAGATGGTGATATAACCACACCAGAGAGCCAGCAGGACAAAGACAGTCTCAATCTCTTCCTCCAAAAACCTGGCTCCTTCTCTAAGCTTAGCAAACTGCTTGAAGTGGCCAAAATGGCTCAAGATTCAGATATCAATTCTCACAACAGTCATTCTGCTAAAGTCGCTACCACTGCTTCTTATCCCACATATCCCACCTCTCAGACAGCCACTCCTCAACAGGGACTGATAGATAAAACAGATACTTCAGTACCATCTCTGCTCAAAAGCAGTCCCTGGATAACCTGCAGCCCTCAGTCGATCCTTCACGACGACCAGCTCAAGATAATGACAGAAAAGAGCAACCAGTGGTTTAGCCTCTTTCCTCGCTCTCCTTGTGACGAGTCCTCAGTCACCTCTGGCTCAAGCCCTCCAGCCTCCTCCTCTCCTCTGCAGACCATCAGCACCAAATCCCCCTCCTCCCTCTCCCCTAATCCCCTTGCTTCAGCCAGCTCCAGCGCTCCTGCTGGGATCAATAACATGCATCTGTCTGTCCTTCAGGTTGGTGGATAACAATAATGCTATCTTCCATCTCAGTCACAATTATTTCAGATCACGTTGTGCTTTTGTTAGAACACTGACACATGTTGTAAGTATTGTTCCGCATTACATGACCATATTTCCGGTGTTACAAACGCATCAGCACGGGAGAGCTGCGTTGGAAAAGTTGCACACATTTAATTGCTATCACTATGTCGCCTTATACATTATGCATGTGGTAGTGAAAAAGAATGTTTTTTGAACTGTGTGTATTTTCCCTCTCAGCAAGTAAAGTCTGGCATTCATCAGAGCAGATTGACACTGTGTGACATGTCCAGCGCAGTGGCAAGTCCCAGCCTGCCCTTCTCTGGTGCTTCTCTACCCCCCATGCTGGATCTGGTCTCCCAGCATGCAGAGGGTAACAGGAACAAGGTCTTCTTCCTGGCAAATAACAACTATGCCAACAAGAGTGAGACCCCAGAGCCCTTGAGTGACAAGTCCGCTTGTGGCTCATCCCCTGCTGCGGAGGTGGCCAAGACCCAGGACTACCCTACTCCTCAGCCTATCCCCGAGGGTAAGAATGGCCTACTGCCAGTGCGCACAAGTGGAATATGCTGCACTAAAGACATTCACTGCCCAGACAGCAGTGGAGTACATGCTGTGATGGCTGTCAGTCAGTTGTACAATTTCTCTGTGTTGCTTAAATTAAACAATTATGTGACAATAGTTTTTAAATATGTGCATGTGTGTGTTGGCAGAGATGCTGTGTGGCTGGTGGAGAATGTCAGACATGGAGGAACTGCACCGTCTGGTCAATGCCCTCAATAGCCGAGGCATCAGAGAGAAGGTCTTGCAGAAACAGATACAAAAGCATATGGAGTACATGACCCAGCTCTGCACTAACAGCAACGATGGTTAGTCCACATTCCTCCGCTGTTAACAGACAGCAGTGTTACACAAGTATTGTTATGTGACCTTTCGTCGTGTGCCACTTGGTTGCGATGAAATTAAATATGAGCTTTCAGTAGATGGCAGTTTGCTATAATTTTTGTATGTATCTGTGGTGGCAGCGATTGATGTGGCAGAGTTAGAGAAGCAGGAGGTGAGTGAGGAAACAGTGGAGAGTTGGTGCGTCGAGGAGCAGGCCATGGAGGTGGACATTAGCCTGCTGCAGCAGGTCGAGCATCTGGAAAGGAAAGTCATCTCTGCCAGCCTCCAGGTCAAGGTACAGGCAAACGGGCATCCCACTCTTTCATCTACTCTTTAATTCAGTAACATATGCTTGGATGCGCTCCTGTGTGCTCACTTTGTCTTATGTCAAATACTGTGTTGCGATGAGTCGATGACCATATTTCACGATGTCTTCCTCAGGGCTGGATGCATCCTGAGCCCCAGTCAGAGAGGGAGGATCTGGTCTATCATGAGCACAAGCTCTTCTCTTATTCTGCTCCAGAGAAGAAAGGACAGAGAGAAACCAGCCAGGAGGAACTTCCTGGCTCTGTGGTGCGGCGGCCCAACAATCCCCTCGATATAGCTGTCATCAGGCTGGCAGAGCTGGAAAGGAACATCGAGCGAAGGTATCTAAAGAGACCCTTAAGTGCAACCTTTCAGATCGGACTGGATAATGTCATGTCACGTGTATGTGTTCCGTCTCCAACCTCTAGTGGTGAAGGGAAAGGGAGATTATTAACCTCAGAATTTGCTGCTTCTTAAAGTCTCTCCAGTTAAAGATTGTTTCCACCTTTACTTGTTTTTTTCACTGGCTGATATTGGTTGTTAATGGCATTGTCAGTCAGTAATGTTACAGACTGTATGTGTGATTGCTGTACGGTTATACTGCAGTCTCACTTTCTGTGACCTCAAAGCAGTGAGGAGGAAGTGGCTCCGGGGATGAGGTTGTGGCGTAAAGCCCTCGGTGATGTCCGCAGCTCAGCTCAGCTGTCACTCTGCCTTCAGCAGCTGCAGAAATCCATTGTTTGGGAACGATCCATCATGAAAGTGGTTAGTAACTCCTAATTACTCTCTCATAATCACAGATTTGTGTATGTTTTATAATACATACATTTAAACACCAATTCGTAGCTCACTCTGAAAATGTCCCTCATTATGAAGATCATTCTTTCAGACTGCATTGCTTCTCGTTCCTTTCCATAAAAACTACAGTATAAACCATTAGCTTGCTCAATTTATTTGATCCTTTCAAAATACACAAGACTCTTGAAAAGAATCAAGGATAACACAATAAATCCACACAGCCTGTGTTCCTTAAAGGAGGGTTGTTGTTGTTGTTGTTATGCAAAAGGTGAAAGAAAGGAAAGTTGTGTTAGCAGCATCAATTTACAATACATCATTACCAGGCAACAACCACATCACATAATAGCACAATCAGCAACAAATCAGCATCATTCACTATCTCTGGCAGCAAAGAAGCGCATAAATCACTAGTTTTTACAGCGATGTATCTCAGTTTGAATTCATAAATACATATATTTGGTGTTTTCAGCACTGCCAGCTCTGTCAAAAGGGGGATAATGAAGAGCTGCTCTTACTCTGTGATGGCTGTGACAAAGGCTGCCACACATACTGCCATAAACCCAAGATCACTACAGTACCTGATGGCGACTGGTTTTGTCTCACTTGTGTAGCGAAGGTACACCAGCATGCCCAGTGTTTATTCACAGAGCTTAGACACAAAAGTCCACTATTACAGTAGATCTAAGGAGACGCACCCCATGTAATTGTCAAATGATAAAGCAGTGACATTAATTTGATTGGAATATGATGTATGTTTTGTTTTGTGCGGCTCTACACCAGCTTTCTTTGTGTTCTGTTTTAGGAAAGTGGTCATTCCCCCCGGAGCAGGAGGCAACAGAGCCGAACAGCTGGAGGAGGGAAGAAAGGCAGTGAGGTAAAACGAAATAGTAAGCCATCTGCGGTAGGAGAGCTCATCAAAGAAGAGGCTGCCAGCAGCAACAGCGTGCCAAAGAAAGGTACCAAGGAGTTCAAGAAGAGGAAAGGAGACGACAGCCCACCCGGCTCCCAGGCCAGGCATGACAGCCCTGCCTCCTGTGCAAAAAAAGCCAAATCGGCCAAAGACAGCAACACGAATGGGCTGGCGATGTGCCGGTACGCAGACAGAACAGCATTTACTTTAACCCTCATTTTTAAAATCAGTACATTTTTAATGAGCTCCTGTGATACATGTACAAGACGGTCATCCTTGTGCAGTCAAAACATCCATTTTATTTCATGTTCTTTCATATCTGCTACTACTTACACTTGCTACTGGTTCTTTCCAGAGTGCTGCTGGCTGAACTGGAAGCCCATCAGGACGCTTGGCCCTTCCTCACACCGGTCAACCACAAAGCTGTCCCCGGGTACAGGAAAGTCATCAAGAAGCCCATGGATTTCTCCACCATCAGAGAAAAGCTCACCAACAACCAGTATGTTTGTGTCACTGTCGCAGTATCTTTTTTTCACATGGATTTTATGTCCATGTACTTTTACGTATTTCACAATTTACATAAATTAAAAGTTAACACCTTTCCTAATAATTACAGGTACTCAAATTTGGAAACTTTCATCATTGACGTCAATCTGGTTTTTGAGAACTGTGAAAGATTTAACGAAGACGACTCAGAAATCGGACGAGCCGGCCACAGAATGAGGAGCTTTTTTGACAAACGATGGACTGAACTGCTGAAATAAAATAAAAATAAATTCCAGTGTGGACTTTCTGCGCTACTCTCTACATATCAGACTTCATCTTTAGTGTCTGAGGCCTTCTCTTCACCTGTGACACTAAATCAATACACAGTTATAATCACACTGATGTGCAATGGATGTGAAAGGACACATTTTCGTGCAGAGAAAAGACACTTCATGGATTAATATCTTAAAGTGCAATATTGTTTTCTTTATCAAAATGCACTGACTCTTGGACTCAATATTGTATTTGGGAAACAAGGATTTCCACTGTAGATAGGTCATTGGCTTTTGTTTTTTTATCAACAGTACTTCAGCTTAGTGTATATGTGTGTATTTATTTTCTGATGTATTTATGTTACAGTCAGTCTTTAGTAAGAAAAAGCAGGAAATGGCACACAGCTTTAAAAAAAATAAAATCTAAATATTGTTTTATGAATTACTGAACAAGCCAATCAAAACAAAAAAATTGTTTACAGCTTTTTTGACAATAGGGTGCCAGCAGTACTACTGTTCATCAACATTTCTGGGTTTAATTGTGTGAAATACAAAGAGGTATCACTGTCACTATTTACAAGTCCTGTTTCTAACATGTACAGAGTGTACAGTACACAAAGTACAATCTTGTTAAAAATATTACTAATGCATAAGGATGATTGTAGCACTTCATATGTCTCATACTGTATTTTGCCTGTGCTGAATATCCACTCAAAACACTGCGGTCTCCTCAGTATTGTAGTGCCTGACCTCTGACCTCTAAACAGCCTGTGGAGGAGTGTGTGTTTTTGTATTTTCAGTGTGTGTACTGTATGTGTGTCCTGCACAAATATACTGTAGGAAAAACCCCCTCACACAAAATGTAAAACTCTTTAGAGCTTTTCTTCTGAAAAGAATTGATGTGGTGCATATAGTGTGTTTCATCTCCAAGCATTTCCTTCAGCCAGAGTCTTGTCAGACATCCCGTGGACAGACGTGAAACCTGCACTGGGTTTTAATCCAGCTGGGAATCAGACTGTGTCATGGTCCACCAGCGGCGTCTCAAGACAGCTGAAGTCAGAAGACTTGAAGTAACTGTATTTTATTATGAATATTGTGAAATGAGTAGCAACTTTTGTGGGAATATTATTTTTGAATAGTGGGTGTGTGGCACAGATAAAATAAACCTGTTTTTTTTTTTTCAAAATAACACTGTTAGGTCCTCATTATCACTTTGTTTAACACTAAAATAAAATGGCACAAGATTTACTTTTACATAGAAAACACCATCAACAAATAAAACATGAAGCATTGTTACAGATATACAGTTACAGTCAAAAGTCTGGATACATTTTCTCATTAAAGTGAATGTGGAACTGTATCCAGACTGCCTCTGACTGGTGCTGTGTAGTCAGAATGAACTCCACCTCTTTTAACTACAACATAAAATGCTGCTTTAACATTAATTTGAGGATAATTAGGTATAATCCATTAAAATATAACACTATTATGGGTACTTTTACTTTTGAACTTGATAATACTTGAGTAGTGCTTTGGTGTTATTATTTTAGAGCCAATTAAAATAAATACATATAAATAATTGTATCCGACTGTTAAGTGGACGTCACTCTCAAACTATAAAACTGCTACATTAATGGAAAAGTAGACTATGGACTTTGTGTAACAATAACTCGGCGTCACATGACTGATAACAGCTGTGGAAGATAAACATTATATGTGAGCTGCACGAGGAGGAGGGAGTACATTGAAACTGTCAGAGACACACGAGGAGCAACAGCTCAGTGCTCACAGGTTTGTTTTGTTTGTATCTTTTTCTCCATTTCAACCAAAACATTTCACAGCTTCCCGTCAGGTGTTGTTGTAACTGCTCACTCCTCTTTCGTTTTCAACAGGCGGATATTTGAGCATTTTGCGCCACCTTGTGAGTGAACGGCTCCCTCTGCAACACAACACGTCTCTCTGTCACAAGATGGTGTCAGTAGTTGTCACTCTCCGACACCACACCGACGAGGTCAGCTGCTGTGCCTTCTCTCCATCCCTCCTGGCCACCTCCTCCGGGGATAAAACTCTGCGCGTTTATAACACCACTGACTTCTCGGAGCTTCCTTTCTCCCCTCTCTCGGGTCACGGCTACGGGGTTCACTGCTGCTGCTTCAGCTCATGTGGCAGCTACCTGCTCAGCTGCTCCACGGACGGGTCCGCCATCGCGTGGAGCTCGGAGACAGGTGAGGTGCTCGCGGTGTTGCAGCACCCGGGCCGCACTCCGCTCCGAGCGTGCGCACTGGCGCCGGACTCCTCCCTCCTGCTGGCAGGGGCCTGTGATGGCACCGTGGCCCTCTGGGACTTCCCATCCAGGACACTGCGCAGGTACAGTGTGAGCCAGAGTAAATCACATCAACAGTATGTAAGTTTATTGCCTAGTTGTAGCCTTAAAGTGTCCATATTGTAATGTTACCAGTATATTCTGTACAGAGACACAAACAGCTAGATAAGCACTTATTATTGGGAGCAACTGACTCAGTAATTCAGATCAGATATGTTTGTAAGAGATTTTGTGAGGATTATTCTTGATTAGTTTGCCTTTCAATCACAAAACAATTGTGTGTGTGATTTTCTTTTTTTGTGCTCTGTCACAACTTCTACAAGCATCCTCAAGCCAGCTAATTAAGACTCTCCCAGGTGGTTTAAATCAATCTCAGTCCAGGACTCCGCAGCCTCATCCAAGAGTGTTTTTAAAGAGCTGTTTTTTTTTTTAAGCCAAAGATTAATTATTCCAGATCAAGTCCTGCACCTTGTCTACTGGTGCTGTTCATAAAGAGTTCTAACCCAAGTTGTAAATCTAATCTATTGCAGATGCAGTGCAGTGAGCGAGGACAGTGTCGTGGCCTGCTGCTTCTCTCCCTGCGGCCAGATGTTTGTGACCGGCTGCACGCACGGAGACCTCAAGCTCTGGGATACGGACATCAGTGTCCTGCATGCTGAGAAGGACGCCCACGACCTGGGAGTCGCCTGCTGCAACTTCGCCCCGCAGTTTAATGTTGGTGAGTTCTGAATGTTTAATGGTTCAGTTCAGACAAATCACACAAGAAAATACATTTTCCTTCATTGCTTGTGGCTGAGATATTTTCTGCACAGTGGAGGTGAAAGGAGCTGGATTGGTTATGGTGCTGAAAGCAATAGAACAAAAAATTACATCTTAACCTCAACTAGTGCTGAAACAATCAGTGGGTTGATGCAAAACTTATCAGCAACTATTCTGATACCTGATTGACTATGTAAGCCATTTACCAGGCAGAAAATTAAAAAAAAGGGTTCTTGGAAATCAAGTTTTTGTTTTTCTAACTTTTCATTAATTTCCAAAATAGTTTGTAGATTTATGATCAAAATAATAGTAGTTAGAATAAACATAAAAGCAACTCAAGTACACACTGACCTCACTGTGGACGGTTTTCATTGGAATAACTTTTTCAACTGTTCTTTTGGGATTTTGGGTGAATGAATTTAAAGTAGCAAGTAGCTACTACAAGAAAAAGTCCTGCACTCAAATATCAGTATCTAAGTATTATTAGCAAAATGTACTTAAAGTATGAAAAGTACTAATTCTGTATTAAAATGCTGTCAGTGTTAAACTGTTATATATGATGATGATTCAACTATATACTGTTGGATACTTTAATCTACAGCAGTGAATCATATTCTATAAAATCACCATGTGTTTGTAGTGTTGTTGTCTTGTGACAACCACACGTCTAATAATAATCCACTTTTCATGTGCTCTGAAACGCAGTCCTGTTTCCAGCTTCGTGACGATGCATTTACCAGTTTATCCAACAGGATTTTTTAAATAGTTTATTTAGTTTAAGAAGTAGGATAATTTCCTTAGCCAATAAAGGAACATTTAATCCCCCTAATCCAGAAAATATCCAGTTCATGGTTTTCACTGGACAGGAGGGGTATTGAAAAAGTAACTAGTAACTGAAGCTGTCAGACAAATCTAGTAAAGCAACAGTAATAAGTACATTTGTGCTTAATTACAGTACTTGAGTAAATGTTCTGTTACAGTCCACCTCTGGTTTTGGCTTCTTTTTCCCTTGGTTGTTATACATAATCCTTCACAGTTGGCATTTAGTGAAAAGCAACCTGTTGCATTTGATCCATTCATTGAATCAAAATGATATTTACAAATGTTTTGTTCTGTGCCAGGTCTGAGGAATAACAAGCATATTGTTGTTAAGGGGAGTCAGGCTTTAATCCAAACACTGTATTTATGCCACATACAGTGTAAAAGATGCTTGCCATGTGTTGTCTCACTTCACAAAAAGGCCGTCAGATTATACTCGTCTTTTTTTTGTTATTAAACTCAGTCAAGCATGAACATTCAGAAAGATGGGGAAAGAATGTGGCTGGTTTTTTATTTTTTTTTGTTGTTTTTGTTCTGCAGATGGCTGCTGTGTGGAGTTTCGACTGGCCTCCTGTGGCCAAGACAGCCAGCTGAAAATATGGATTGTTTCCCAGGGTGAAGGAGCAGGTAGGCCGACCCCTCTGACCGCTTCCTCAACTGAAAGCTCTCTCACTCCATCGCCCGTGAGACAGACAGAGAGAGAGAGAGAGAGAGAGAGAGAGAGAGAGAGACTGCTGACTGCTTTAACCTTGAAATCTCTCCTGCAGGAAAGAAGAATTTTATTAGAGTGTAGAATAAATCAGCTGCAGACTGTCCTCTGCTGCTGCCGTATTCCAGCAGAATCTCTTAAAGTGATCCATTATTTGTGTGTGTGTGTGTGTGTGTGTGTGTGTGTGTGTGTGTGTGTGTGTGTGTGTGTGTGTGTGTGTGTGTGTGTGTGTGTGTGTGTGTGTGTGTGTGTGTGTGTGTGTGTGTGTGTGTTGAGAGGAAATCAGGTGCATATATCCACCGTGACATTTATATCTTGTACAACTGACAGCAGAACGAGAACATTTTCGTGTATGCTCGTAGGTTGCATAACCAACCCTACGGACTGTGTGAACGCGCCATGTTGTTAGTTCCTGAGATGTGTTGCCGTGGTAACAGACGTTTCTGGGGAGGAAGCGATGTGTCCCACGTGGTGACCCGCTGTGGCCCTTGGGGATTTTTCATCTCTGAGCAGCTTGTAGAAGGACACAGAACAATGTCCTCGTTTCATTTCTTTTAAAAATGTAGTTTTTTCAGATTATTGTGTTTCTCTCCAGAGGAGCTCGCGACAAGTTTACCTTTCTGAAATGTGCATTTATCTTGTCTTTGCAATGCTTGAAGCCTTCTTGTACTGTTTTGTGAGAAAGAGAGTCAAGTGTAGATGATTTAGGGAAGCCAGGGGGCCAATTTTGAAGCTGGTTTTACTGTCTGTAGGAACATTTTCTAGCCATGCTGTTTGGAGCTAAAATCTTTCCTTTCACCCAGGCTCTCAAACACACATTACATTAGTTTTATTTTGATGTCTCAAGTGTTCAGCCTTGTCAGGTTTAATAATGCGTTTTTGTTCTTTTTCTTTACTCAGAAGTGTTTGACATCGTGAATATGCATGCAAATAACAAATTAGCCTCCCACAGAGCCTGAAAACAGTATTTTTAATCTAATGGAGAAGATGGGGGTTAGATTTAATACATGTGTGTTTACGGGTCATTTAAATGCTGCTACAGACCAATTAGTTGTGGCACATGGAGTTATTGGACAGTGAATTATTGCTGTGTCTTTATAGCTTAAGCTGTGAATGTCTCAGGTCTATTGCCAAAAAGAAAATATTTTGTTTCCAAGCAGCTGTCAGCAGGTGGCACAGCTGCAAGTCAGCAAGAGGGAGGAGAGTTATTGACAAAAAGTTTTGAGAATAAAGACGGTGATGCACTTTGAAGTGTGTTTGTATGTGTGTGTCAGTTTCAGAGAATACATTTTAGTATTTTTTTTGTCAGTTTATGGAACAAATACAGACACAATTTTCTTTTGAACTCTTAACTTTTCTCTCTGTGTGTGTGTGTGTGTGTGTGTGTGTGTGTGTGTGTGTGTGTGTGTGTGTGTGTGTGTGTGTGTGTGTGTGTGTGTGTGTGTGTGTGTGTGTGTGTGTGTGTGTGTGTGTGGGTGGACCCTCAGCCTTTGTCATGAAGCTGCTTCACACTCTCAGCAGCCAATCGGCTCCAGTTCTGTCTTGTGCCTTCTCCTCTGACGGAGAGCTGGTTGTCTCGGGGTAAGACGCAGACGCATAAATCATCTCTTGTTGTCTCTACATGTGTGAGCAGCACTAATAAACACCTCCTGTGTTGGTAACTGAATATTGACTTTTGTGCCTGTCAGGCTTGTGCTTTGTAAAGTCATTCGTTTTATTATTTGCTGTGAAATCACTTGCTCACTTGGGACAAATTAGGTTTAAATTAATCTCTCCTCCGTGTTTAAATTGCTCCTTTTTGTCGGTGCTGTAAACAGCAGATGCCGCCGCTGAGCACTGCTGTTCCCTCAGTCGGCCACAGGAGGAGTGTATTTTGTTGTGTTTAAGCTTCTGTTTGTGTCCCTCTGCAGTTTCTGGCTTTAATTCAAACATATTGAAGGTTAATCTGTGCTCGGTTTGTAGCACTTAGAAACATTTGTATAATGTGTGTGTGTTTTTGTCTGACAAGACTCCATTGTTTTATTATTCTATAATGCAAATGCATGCATATGGATTCTGCAAATAAAATGTATTTACTCTCCGATTCTTCAACAGTTCAGTGGATAAAACTGTTGCATTATATGATGCGGTAAGTAAAGCACAAAAAACACTATTTTGTTGAGCTCAGTTCTGGTTCGAAGAGATTCCTAAACAATAAATCACAGCCGCCGTAAACACAGAGATGCTGAACATTCCTGTTTTGTCTGTTTGTTTGCACCCTGTTTACAGAACCTGGGAACCCTGCTCTACACTTTGAAACAGCACGACAGGTAAATGACCTGACCTCCCGCTGCTATGCAATCTCTGCAGCTATCAGACAGACAGCAGAATAGGAGTCCCAGTGTTTTCGGATCAAAACGTGTGATTTTTGCTTGATTAGTTTTTCCCAGAAGCACCGGGTGCAGTGATGCAATAGTATATTCTCAAGCGCTGCTTTCTAGACAGTCATTGAAGTGGCACTGCAGGTAGAGACCAGCGGAGTGCTTTGAAGTGCTTGAAAGGATTTAAGATACTGTACGATCTAAGACTGGGGTTTTTTTTTTTAAGGGTGGAGGGAACCTGACTTTTAAAGCCGATCTCTTCCTGTGCCAGTTTTAGCCTGTCATACACACCCCTTCACATTCACACTCCTCTTCCTCCTCCCTGCAGGTATGTGACTGCCGTTGCTCTGTCTCCCACCATGCCGTGGATTGCAACCGGCTCCATGGACAGAGCGGTGAACGTGTGGAGAATAGGAGATGGAGTCAGCAGAACTGGTAAATGCTTAACAGAAGATTGTTTAGGTTGGCGCCTACAAATGAACAATCACTCCTCTTTTTTTATAACGGACTGTTAGCAGTGGTTCAAAGCCCAGAAGCCATTTGGAGCGCCAAAGCCTCCCAAAAGAGTGTTTTGGGATATATCCAGCAGGAGAAGCTCCCATTACATGTGTATTGCTGTCTGGCTGCAGTGTCTAGAGAAGGAATTGTGATTGATGTTTATTGGTGCAGCAGGGAAAAGTACCGCTGAGCCTCAGAGAGCCGTTGTTATGGAGGTGAATCCTCTTTAAAAAAAAAAAAAAAAAAAGTCCAAACCCAACATGAAAGAAAACATTTGGAATAATAAATGAAAAGGTGCAATCGTCAGACATCTGGAGGCCTTGAAGCTTCATCAGGGCAACTCCTCATCTGCCATTAGTCAGGTTGATATTGACAAAACAAATTCCATCTCAGTGAAGATCTTCCTCTTTTTTTTTTATATTCCTCTACCTCTTTCTCTCTTTCTGTCCCCTTTCCTTTAATCTTGTTTCTTGTTTTTTTTCTTTTCACATATTAAAGTTATTCCCTTTTATGTTATTCTGCAGGAGCTGAATCAAGGCAGACAGAGTGCCAAGGTAAATACAGGCATCACTCGGCCTTATAAATCTTTAGTTATTCACAGTTATTCTTTGAGCTAAAAACCACCACTGTTTTATTTGAATGTGGATGGTTCAGGTATCAGTTTAGTACGGGTGTTTATATAATTTAAGCTCATATTTAAGCTATTGTTGAAGTGCACTGTTGTCTTTTTGCATGTGATGGAAAGCCTCTCTTATGATTTGGGTTTGTCCTGTGTGCATACTGTAAGCTGTGTTGTGTGAGCCAAACAAGGGTCTTCAACCAACAATGTGTCAGTCTGTCTCTCAACAGTGCTGTAGTTTCATTTTCAGATGAGGCTCAACCGTTTCTTAAAATGAATGGGGACTGTGATAGTGCTGTGATTCTATGGATGACAACGTCGTTGGTCCACCACTGCGGTGGATGGATTGCAATGAAATTTGGTTCAGACGTCCCCCGCAGGATTTAGAGGAAAAACACTTAAGTTTATATGCAAAGCTAAAGATTCCCATCAGCCACAGCTATACTTGGTGTTTATTGCTTATTAGCAAGTGTTAGCATGCTAACATCCTTAACTAGGAACATGGTAAACACATCTTCTACACATTAATATATTATCATCATCACTGTGAGTATATTAGCATGCTGATGTTAGTATCTTATTCCTTATTCCTTATTCTTATTACTTACACCTCTTCTGCATCACTGTTATCTTAAGATGGGACAACTTGTATCTTGTAATCATTCTTAGTGTAAAGGGTCTCTAATAAAAGGCAGTGAAACTGATTTAAGCCTCCATTTTAAATAAACAGAGAGTTGGAACTGACCTCCAGTTTTCTGGAAGTTTCTCCCGGTGTATGTGGCACATACAAACAGAATACTGCTCGTTCACTATGGAGACAGTAAACCAGCTGTCCCAGACAACCTGAGAGGTCAGAGTCGTCCATAATGTATCAGAGGATGAGAAATGTATTTTGGACCTAAACCATCCAGTTTTATAAACCGTAGTAAATATTTTAAAATGAAGCTTTACTCAAACAGAAGTCTAAATGCGATGTTTATTTATGGTTTTTGGACAACAATTGAGGTCTGTGGCACAGAGCAATGAACTACCAAGCTTTAGCTGCACAGAGAATACTTGTTAGTGGAATCAATTCATTGTTGGTTTGGGGATTTGTTGACAATAAGAAAAATAGACTTTCGCCACATTTATTGTGTAAATAATGGAGGTGATGAAGAGAGTTTCATATGTGCATCTGTCCAAGTAATTAAGCACTGCAGTCTGAGCTGTCCCAGTCTGCAGTGTGAGGTTTTCATGCTTTTGGCACAGTATTTCCATGACTCAGCCTCCTAGACTGGGAGACTCCACACTCTATCAGCCAGGGCTGCAGAGAGGAGGTGGTGTTACTCCGCTCACTGTCGTGCAGACCCAATAAGTGGATATTTCCACTCAGCACAACTGTGCTTTGGGCAGGATTACTGCATAGTTTAACTCTTACCAAAAGAAAACAAAAGTATCATTTTTAAACAACATAGCTGTTTTATTTGTTTTTTTTTAATAGAAAACGGAGGGCAATAAGAGCACATTTTTAGACACATTAGCGACCAGACGATTGGTTCAACACTTTGGTCAAGAATGAAACCTCTCTAACTGTTGGATGGCTCAAGGTTTAATATTTATTATCCAAGAGCTCCGTAGTTCTAGACATGCTGTCATGACATTCAGCAGTCTTACATAAAAAAGGTGCAGGGATCTTTTCCAAAAATATGCATTGATTTGTGAATTGTTTAGGCAGAGGTAGGGGTAGGTGAGAGGGGAAGGCTAACATGTGGTTAGTGTGTTTAATGAGCAACATCTCCCAGGCTACAGGGTTATCTTTCACGTGGCTAATGATGGGCGATGGGAACCGTGAGGCTGCTGTGAGGTGTCATTAGCAGGGCCGGCTCACAACAGGCTAGTTTATTTTGGCCTCAAATGATAAATGATGGCTACTCACTCACATAGTGTCATGTGAAGGTTGATGAGCTGCATGCTGGCACAGTCTGAAGTAACACAAGCTTTGGTTTAATTTGCTTTTCTTCGGCAGATCAGGGATCTGTGTCTGTCTGTGTGCAGGAAGGTAATTGTCACTCCCCATATCAGCACCGAGGGAGCGTGTCCTTTTCTGTGGAGTGTGAGGGGAAATTGTTTGTTTGCATCTTTTGTTGCAGGAGATGGGGATATAATAGCAAGTCCCTTCCTCTTCCTGTTGTATGTTTTGCAGGAAGGAAGTTGCCGGGTCACTCCAGGCTGCTGGTTGCTGATTGGTCGGAGGAGGATGTGCAGACTTGGCTGTGTGAGGAAGGACTGCAGGAGCTCGTCAGCATCTTTAAAGCCAACAACATCGACGGAGCAGAGCTCAGCCAGCTGAACAAGGCAGCAGCCACAGAGCTGGGAATTGGTGAGCATGGAAGATAAAACAGTCACACACATTAGTGTACAGTACACACACACACACACACTCACAGGGACACTGGGATTCTGTGTTTTTGTGGGGATTTATTGTTTGATCCTAAAACATGACAAGCTAGAATCGGATAGCGTGATATAAGCCTCTTTTTTTATCGATGCTCTGATTTATTTCTCCCCCCTGTGGCCCCCCTCCTACAGCTCTCCCCAAATAGTGATCTGATTTAGGGACGTGATGCTGCAGCAGTCCTATCTGCTTATACAATCACAAATCACGCTGTGAGGACAGTACCCCACAGGATGACCTTTACGTCACAAACAATGATAATCCCTCTGAAAATAAGATTAGTCCACTCAGGGTCGTCCAAGGTCTCAGTGGAAAGTCAAACTGCAGCTAGAAAAAAACAAAAAATGGCTCCCTGCTTTGGGGGGACACCAACACTATTAAAATGTAGCAAACAATGTACACGGCAGCATCGTTATCTCCAACAAGGCAGTTTAAAGGAATAGTTAAACAATTTTGAAAATAAGCTTATTCGCGTTATTGCAGTTGCAGAGAGTGATGGTTAGCTTAGCTTAGCGTGAAGACTGCTCGGTTTTTGTACAAATTAAACAAATAAGATGTAATGCGTAAATGAGTGAGCTTTAGAGGTGTTTGCAGGGGAATTTTGTTACCTTCAGACAGAGTAAGGCATGTGCACCTGGTCAAAAATATGCCTGAGGTGCATTCATCCTCACTGCAGATTAAAAGCTAATTATTTTCTGTTGAAATAACACATTTAGGAGGATTGTTAACCTTGTATTTTGTGTCCTTTGGCGAAGGTATGAAAGCTTTACAGTTAGTATTTCAGTACTGAAGTTTTAGCTAAGCCCAGTGCCATCTTGAATTTTAATTTACAAGCTCAGTTTTGAAGGGAATTTAGCAGACAGTCGAACGCTATGATGCCCAGAAAAGACCGTCTTTACTCTGATTACGGTTACTTTGTGCCGACTGTAATCATGCAACTAGCAGCATCACAGTCCCGCCCTTAATCATGGCAAAAATGGCCTTTCGGCTGTTGTTGTGTTTGCTTTAATTGGACAGCAGTAGACAGTTTAAAAAAAAAAAAACAACAGTAAAGCCAACTTCCCTCGCCTGCTGCTCAGTTATGCAAAGTATGTCCTATGGACCGAGCATCTCTTTTCCATGCGTTTAGTATGGAGGACAGCTCTCATCATTACCACAGAATGAGGACAGAGGAAACAACAGATTGCCACATTTCCTGTCCTTTTTTGTGCCGTGCAACCAACAACTATCATTTTCTATGCATGCTGTTGGTTTAAATTGTGTGCGTGCATTGACACACACTTACTCTACACACACACACACACACACACACACACACAGCAAATTAGATTCCAGCGTACTTTACTTGATGAAATATTCATGAATCTTTGAGTAAGGGGAGGGGGAAAAAAAAAAGTTCCTCTCGAATATAATTCAGTGTATCTCTGTGGAGACAGCCTCATTCTGCAGTTTTATTGTAGCGTCTCATCAAATTATCAATCTAAATGTAAAGTGGACAGTATAGTACTAATGGCTTGTGGGAACTTATGGAAGTCTTAAACCCCATACAGCTGTTAAGTGCAGTTTTTCTACCCAGGATTAATTTATTGGGTGAATCAGAGGACTTAATGGGTTCAACGTGTTTCACTGAGAGAAGACATTTTGATTAAGCACTATCACTTCTCCCCTAGGATCCAAACTATTTGCGATTGCGACAGCAGGCCTCCACGGCTGCGTCAGTTTTACTTTAAACCTGAATGCATGATTTTTAAAAGCGCTGAGTTCATGGTAAGAAGTAGTCACAGGCTGCGTGATGTGCTTTCCTCTCCTGCATTTCTACTTACTGCTCTATGAGTGAGTGCAAAATTAGGAAGGATTCACAATGTGTCATTTGCTGCACGAAGTAGCCTTTCCTCAGTGAACAATGGCTGATTGTGTCCTATAAATGGATAAAACTTTACATGGTGCCTCGATACATCATGAGTTATGGGAAAGAGCGTTTATATATATATATATATATATATATATATATATATATATATATATATATATCACAAATAAAGCTAGAGATTCAATTCAAACTAAACCAAAATCTATCCAGAAGTCTCTCCCATATGTGTTAAATTCAGTGATTATCAGACGCAGCTTTAACGAATAGTTTAATCACGTTCCACAATGTATCCCTTTTGATTGGGCTTTGACATCACTTCCAAAGTCATTAACTCAACCTAGAAGCAGATGGTTTATTAAGCATCCTCAGCACATGTGACTAAAGGACGAACAGCTCAGACACAGCGAGCACATCCCTCATCCAGCACTGTAGCTACCACTGAGGTCACCGAGGTCGTGTCTGTGGTGTATTTTCTGGGAAATTGAGGGTTTTTTTTGCAGCATGGGGGAGTTCACATTCGGCATTGATGGATATTTTATTGGCTGATTCCTGTACTGTTTTTAGACTTTAAACTCTGCCTCCACTCAGAAATATGTTTTTCTTCTTGTTCCTAAAAGTTGGATGTTTGAGCTTCACCCTGCAGGATGATGAATGTGCAGAGTCTGACACTACATTCATCTGCTGAAAGTGGAAAGTTTCTCTCTGCTCACTAAAAATCTGAGCCTATGAGCATGATTTGTGACATCACAAATAGTTTCGAAGTGAGTCCTGGTCAAGTTTGTAAGAGTGATATAGAAACCTAAAGCCACCAGTGAACAAACACTGTAAATGGACTTTACAGTGACGTAGGAGACATCTTATGTCCAGATGGAAAATCTTAGAAATCAACAAAATTATTAGTATTGATGTATTGATTTTTAATGAGTAGATGCCTTTTTAAGGACCTTAATTTTAAAATTATACATTTTTATGTGGAAAAAAACATATCACACATTATTGTTCCAAGCAGACCATTTGTATAATGTTTTAATACATATCTGAAGGGGATCTTTAACTACTTTTAGGCCAATAAATAAATAAAATAAAGGATTATTTTTGTGTGCAGAATTTATTTACACTGAAAACCATGTATTTCCAAATTAGGTGATTTAATAATGTTGAGATAAACTGAACATTTAAGTGTTTATTTTTTTAGCATTTTCTTATTAGGCTGAATAAACCATTTAAAACCCTGCTGGATTATCTGAAAAATGCATTTTCATTGCATTTATAGACAAATGGAGACCTTCAGTTTTTGGGAACTAGAATTAAAACAACTGAAAAAACAAAAAGTTTTTTAAAATCCCAATAAATAAGAAAATCATCTTGAAACTTACTTTACTTGTATTTGTATTAGTATTTCCAAGATTCTGTCTACATCCTTGAAAAAGGAGTGAAATACAGATGAGGTATTAGATGGAAAAGTACGATGGGGATTATTAAGGCTCTTCTTTATGAAAATATATCCGCGACAAAATCTCCTCAGGATTTGAGAACGCAGCCTAGAAAATGTCACTGTTGGAGACCTGCACCTCGGCAGCACTGCCACTAAACACGGACACATCACTAATCATGCGTGGCTCTAAAGCCCCCCCCCCCTTCAGTGGAGCTGGTGGTGAAATTAGCAGCTGATGACAAATTCAAAGGGTGCTGTCAGTGGGCAGAGACATGCAGCTGTGTGCCCACTGATTTTCCTCTTTTTGGACCCCTTTTGTGTCGGTCGTAGTTCTAAAGTCTCTTGTTATTATAACTCAAGAATAAAAAACTCCGAAGTCCTCAAGGCAGACACCTTGTCTGAGTTGTGAAGCCGTCATCACACAGTGAGCGTGTCGGGTTCTTTGTGCCCCAGCACAGATTGATTGAGCCAAGGTCCAGATTTACTCCTGTGTTTTGTTTTATCTGAGAGATCAGAGAGGATGAGGTCTGTCTGCAGCCTCACTGATGCTTTTGATTTGGTCTTCGGTAATAAATTAATGGTTAAATGTTGGATACGAAACAATCTTTCCGTCACTACGTTTTGAGGTTAAAAAGAAACTGCATGTGATGGGATTTATTGAATACTAAACAAGAAACTAAGCAGTGTGTTGGTTCCTCAGAGTCTTTGGGCCTCCGCGGTCGTCTCCTGAGGAAAATCGAGGCCCTGAAGGCGGAAGAGAGCGGTTCAGAGGCCCCAGATGAGTTTCTGTGTCCAATCACCAGAGAGCTGATGAAGGATCCAGTCATTGCTGCAGGTTAGACGGCAAATACTAAAAAAAAAATTCATTCTGTACAGATGTATTTTTTTCTTTCTACATTATCTCAGTGTAAGGTGTTAAAATGTCTGTTACACAGATGGATATTCATATGAGAGAGAATCCATCGAGAACTGGATCAGGGGCAAGAGCAAGACCAGTCCCATGACCAACCTGCCCCTGCAGACCACTCTTCTCACCCCCAACAGATCTCTGAAGACGGCAATAACACGGTGGAAGTCAAGCCAGTAGACGGCAGCTCATTTTAGTCAGAATCCACATTAACAGGTATTATAAACAGGAACTGCTCAACGACTGCTCTTATTATCACAGGAAGAACTAATTACTATCAAGTTGACTAAATAATCTGAATCTGATCAAGTCAACAGATAATTTGTTCAGTAAATATCAGCATACATCAAAATACCTGCGTACAAGCCTGTAAGTTAAGTTATTACACTGTGTATTTTAAATATATTATCACTTAAAGCTACTCTACAAAACTACATTTCAGCTTTTCAGTTATTTCAAGGCTTTTATCCCAAATGTAAACGCGAAGAGTACACACTGTTTACCTCGGCCATTGTTCTGTTATTACCGTTTGTGGCCACAATGATTGCTGTTCAGCTTTAGGTGCATTACTAATCTATTGCATTACTTTAGGCTTTTTGGCGGTGACCAACTGACCATATAATGATTTCACTCATGGTGATTGTCCTCTTAACTTAACCAGTCTCTTTGTTTTTAGAATAAAAGTGAGGAGATCTGTTTGTTTGTTTCCTCAGTGGGTCTTTATTTCTCTCTCCCATGGTGGCTATGGCAGTAATGTTCTATTACAGTATGTGATCACAGCTAATAAAGCTCACAATACTGAAAACATGGCAACAATTGCATTTAACGTACATATTAAAATAGAGCTGATGGCACTGCGCCCCAAAACCATTTGTTTTTATAGATTTTTCTTTTTTTTACTCTGTAATATAAACTGCAATTGTAGCATGCATTTAAACTCAACATTATTGAGAATCATAAAATGTCTTAGTAGCTGTGCAAAAATAACTATATAAAATATATTGCTTTTACAATTAACCAAGCCATTGGCGCTGTAAATAAATTAAACTAGACAGCAACAACAAGCAGATACAGAAAGGATTTCAATTCAATGTTAATGGTGATTTATATAATGTACAAACACATTTAACAAATGCCTTTTTTTTTTAGAACCTTTAACACCATTTGAACAACATTGTGCATAAAACTCAAAATACACAAGTCTGAACTTGTCAATACATTTAACATAGACCTTCACTGAAAAGAAGGAAAAGTACATATTTATATAATATACACAACATAAGGATCTATAACATCCTTTGTAAAACACAGGAATGCCCGTCCTTTAGACTTTCTTACACCTTCACTGAGGACTTCCTTTTCCTTATTTCTCCCCTCGCAGCACCATGGACGTAATGAACACAGTTCAAACCCCATTTTACTCACTCAAAACTGCTCTGTAATAACATTATGCTGTAACTGAATATCTTGTTTAAGCACTTGATCGGCCTAAGTGTGTATAAAGTGCTTACTGTCACCGCTGCGTTGATGAGGACTGTACAGTACATGTCCAAATACTTCCTTCAGTGCAATGTCTCCAGCTTGGCTGAACGACAGCGGACATGTTGTCATGTAACAGAAGCTGACAGCCACAAGCGACAGGTTGGGAGGATAAAAATCTGGAGCATTCGGTACACTGCCTGCAGCCTGTATTCACACGGGAAAACAAACTGCCAGCATACTGTACTTCTTACAAGGCTTAAATGTGAGACTAGTATTCTTTTAGGGGTTGGTTTAAAAAAATGGAAACAACTCTTTCTCACTTTAGATTTTTGCTAGTGTGCGTTGTGGACTGTATGACAAATAAAACATCTCTACACATTCGACTCTATAAACGATCGCTTTGGTTTCATTGAAGTTACGTGAATGGCAGGATTATCTCGGGCAAGGCCAGGCTGCTTGGGCTTACTGTCCATGAAAGTGTGCGGCATAGCCAGTGCTGGCTTGGACTCTTTGTAACAGTTGGCGGCTTGGCAGAACTTCTCCGTGAATTCCTTGGCGTGCATGCCGTTTTGTAAGCTACTCATTGCCATAGCACCCTGAGGTGGTGGAGGTTTGTGCTGCTCCTGGTAAGTGCTCACTGTTTTAGCGAAAGGCAGCTCACAGTCGACAGGTAGCAGGCCCATCGCTGACATGTTGTGACACACCAGACCGTCGGGCGAGTGGTTCAGCCAGCTGCGGCCGCTCTGGTGACTTTGCAGGCCGTGCTGCTGCTGCTGAATTTGCTGTTGCTGTTGGAGCTGTTGGTGAAAGCGTGCCTTCTTGTCAGTTATGCCCATGAAGGGTCTGGGTTTGTACTCCGTTGCAGAGCTGGCCTGTTGGCTGTGCTTTGTTTTGTCAGAGATCTTGGTGCGGACATCAGGTCCCAGTTTGCCGCTGTCTGATAGGCTGCTGCTGGACGCCAGGCTGCTGGTGGAACTGGACACACGCATGCTGCTGCTGCTGCCTCCTCCCTGCGATCCCACTGCGCCACACAACCCGTCCTTTCCTGGGTCAGTGTGGTTCCCCTGGGGTCCAGGACCGGAGCAGGCTAACCCATCCAGGGACGATGCAGAGTGGGCAGACAACCTGTCTTGCCCCAGACACTTGGAGCTGCTGCAGGATGAGTAGGAAGCTTGGGAGGAATGGAGGTTCTCGTTTTCACAACTGTGACCCATGGAGACGGAGGAAGCCGCCAGCAACATGCGGTTCCCGTATACGGGCTCGTCTGCTGGGGGCGGTAGAGGGCTGATGTCGATTCCCGGGCCTGGCTTCAGCATGCTGGACATGTGTCGGCTGGGTAAGGGACTCGAGGGTGCGTACTGAGATTTGGAGCCTGCTGTGCGGCCCCCCACGGGCCCTCCCCCAGCCTGCATGGAGCTCAAATGCTGGTTGGTCTTGACTATCTGGGCCTGCTTGGTGGGCTGCAGGACCAGACCCTGTTGGGCCAGCGCCTCCCGGTGCTCTCGAGGGTACCGGTGGGGGGGAAGCCTGCTGGGGCCTGGGGGTGAACTGGGGGTGTGACTCTGATGTCCCAAACTGTTGCTGACAGGCTCCGAGGGTAAGACTCTGTTACAGGAATAACTGTTCTGTGACCAGCAGGCTTCAGCTGTCCTGCCACGCAGTGAGGCCTCCTCCTCCTCCTCCTCCTCTTCTTCCTCCTCCTCCAGGATGTCTCTTTGTCCTTCCGCGCTCCTGGAGAGACTGTGTTGTGACGGGTCGACCGGCCCTTCGTCTTGCTCCTGGTCAGACTCGTGGCCTCCCGACGCCTGGCTGGAAGCAGCTGCGGCACCAGCGAGGGCTCCTTTAGTCTGGGTACGCTGCATCTGTTTACACTCGTCCTCCACTCTGGCCAGCAAACGGCGTATTTCCCGGTTATTGGGGCACAGCTTGGCCGCTTCGTGCAGGTCAGCCAGGGCCGCCGTAAACTGCCTGTGGATGGGAGACAATTGTGTTACCAGATCCAGACCACATAATTCCCCAACAATAACAAGCACAGAGGCTGGTCTGGAGCCGTGCTGAATAGTTTACCTGCTGCTTCTTTTAGCTCTTGCGCGGGCATAGTAGGCCTCATAGGATTTAGGTTTCAACTCCAGTGCTTTTGTTGCAAACTCCTCAGCCATCCCAAAATCCTACAAAAGAATCAAAAATTACAGTTAACCACATGTGCTTGAATATCAACTGGTTAAGCTCAGTCACAGAAATTAACATTTTGAAGTATACATGTTTTATCCTTGTTGGTGTCTTTGAGGATATAACAGTATTTTCAAACTAAATAATGGCTGAATTTGACCCAGGCTACATATTTCAAACAATGAAATGATAAAACACCTGGCAGGCACCCAATGTGCTGTTACTGTAGAAACATACAACAGAAAAACCTTGTGGTTCCCGTTTCTCTCATATCTCCTGCTAGCTTGCGGCATGTAATCACATCAACAGCTGGCTCGCTACAAAAATCCAAGAGTTCTTGATGTATGACTTATGTAAACAAACTTTAATGAAGAGCTTTTCTGCAAAAACAATTATCGAGAAATCCAAAAGATAGAAGAGCTTACAAACCACCCCTCTTCCTCGTGGTTGCTTCATTGTCATTTTTAAAACTTTCCAGTCTATCTCAAATAGTCATTAAATCCATCATTCTGTTAAAACATTGGGTGAAAACTCGAACAGGAAGAGGCACAACTGCTCGGCACAGTTTAATTGAGCAGACAGGCTGGCACATGCAGGAACTGAGATTGTTTCACAGGAAGATTTGAGGAGATTGAGTCCACTGCCCAGTACTCTTGTAGCTTTCTCCCCACCTCCTCCCCGTTACCATCTGAACACTAACAAGCTTCTCCTGCCCACACATGCTCAAATTGTTTCACATGCTAGAGTCCTAGTCACAGATTATCTTTTTGTGGATTTCAAAACAATTGGGGATACTTCTCAAGAAAAAAAAAAATTATCCATTTTCCAAATATCCATTTAATTATGCCCCATGATATTCATTACACTGACAAATAAGAATCTGGTGAGTGAAACGCCTTATTTAAAGTCATTAAAGGAACGTGCTAAAAATACTACACTAGCTGAAGAACAAAGGAGGAGAAAAAAAAGTGTCTCTTGAGAGGCTTACGTTGGTTTTTCTGCGACAGCGGGAGAGATTGAGATACAGAGAGACCCGCAGGTCTTTAAATGCCTTCAGGTCATCGCCAAAGCCTTCTCTAGGAAACTTCCTCAGGGCGTACTGGTACCTCTGGGCTGCCTCTTTCATCTTCCCTTTCTGGAGGACACATGGAGGGCAAACATGCAGTGAGGAAGAGGACAGAACCAGAAGGAAAACAATCGGAGAGAGAACGAGGGCAGAGTATTCACCAGATACTCCCACAATAGCTGTTCTCTGGCTTGAGCCCTCCCTCCTCATCAATCACATACACATACCCACAGACAGACAGACACGCACGCACACACGCACGCGCGCCACACACACACACACACACACACACACACACACACACACACACACACACACACACACACACACCTTGTCCTTTCTGCCACAAAACTCTGTTAAATGTCAGGCATCAATCATGGCTCCTGTGGTAAGCGGTGCAGAACATACACATCTATTCATTTTTCCCCATTTAACTCGGCTAGAAAAAGATGGTTAGGACGTCATTGTTATGCTGAACTAAATCATATTGTTCAGTGCTTTTTTTTTTTACAATTGATGGTGAGAGATTTCTTTACAAGTTGCACATTACCTTGTAAAGTAGGTTTCCCTCCTCCATCAGCTTCTGAAGAAGAATGATCAGGATATCAGGCTTGGAAGTAGCCATGGCCCAAGCAGCATTCCCTGTGGGTGTAAAGGGGAAAGAGAGGAGTCGAGAGAGGTGTGTTAACGTGGTTGTTTCTGGCGCCAACAGGTGGTCACTGTATTCTCTGGAAATTGGGACAAGGTAAAGTTACCTAAAGATTGTACCTGATCGATCGTAAGGAGACGTTCTGTAGCCTTAGTTTATTGAAGGCAGTTAAGAAAGAGTTAGGAAGGAGAAAGTGAAGAGAAAAGAGGTCATGCAACAGCAAGAGTCATTTGTAGTGAAAGGAAAATGTGCTACAAAGTGTAATGTGACAATATACAATTATGTGTCACTAAACTTAATGTGGCCTTGTATTTTCAGTGGTAAAAGCATAATTGTTAACTGTGCTGAACGGAAATTTTGGTTCTGCCCATTACCCTTTTTTTTTTTCCCCTGATACAGCAGAGTGCACTGCAGATAAGCTGCAGACCCAGATAGCTCTATGAATGTCATTTAGGTGATAAGTCACATTCTTAAATTAACCAAGCAGCACATGAGGGAGAAGAGGAAAGGACACACACACTCACATGCACTGACATACCAGTTAACAGCGAGCGTACACTGAGCACTGAACAATGAGTGAAAAGCAGGAATGGAAACAGGGTTTTTCCACAACATTCCACTAAATTAGTCTGAGCTTATTCTTAGTACCGTGAGATACCGAGCATGACAGAAACCATCTCTACACAGAGACAAAACAAAATACTCAGAGTTCCTCAGTGTGTACTCAGACAGTTTCTAGGGACTAACGGCTGACAGCAGTATCTGCACACAAAGCTAAATACATGTACGGTGGGTAATAAATATATAAGTCTACATTTCCAGTTTTAAACCTAGTCGTAGGGTTTTTGCTTACCCAGCTTGGCCCCTTTCTTCAGCAGAGTCACCACCACCGACGTGTTCCGACAGCCTATGGCCCTGTCCAGAGGCCTCATCCCACTGTAGTCAACATGCTCATATCATCAGCGCACTTCGGGGGGTGGGGGGGGGGGGGGGGGGGGGGGTGGGGTAAGGTGGTGTGTGGTTGGGTGTGTTTTGTTTGTGTGTGGGTGGGTTGTTAAATTTGTTTTGTTTTTTTGTGGTGTTTTTTTAGAGAAAAAATGTTGTTTTTGTGTTTTTTTTTTTTTTGTTTTTTTTTTTGTTGGTTAAATAATTCTGCTCCTCTTTTCCACCAAATACTGGACAACTACCACATATGTTTTCAAACAAAATTAAGGCCGGACAGTCGCACCACATGTATTTTGACACGTTAAGAGCACAAAATTGCCAACAACTCACTGTTTTTGAAAGGTTAAAGTAGGTATATATGTGGGAGATATATTGCATATCTGTGGTTTTTTTATGATTTAAACCTTTTTTAACTGTAAAAATAGAGTCGGACAAAAATTTGGGCGCACGTCATTGACCCACATACCAACTAAAAAAAGTGAAATATTTTCAGTGTGTAACAGAGAAATTTAAAATACATTTCCAGGTAATGAATTTAGTAATATATAGAGGTGTAACTTAATCCTAGGTTATATAGGTGAGATATATTATAGAAAATTGTAAAGAGATGTTTTGATGATTTAAAGCAAGCTGTCCATGTTAAGAGAAAGTGCATCTGGACAGGTATTTTTGGGACCTGGCTTGACAAGGCTGCAATTTGATGTTTGTATCTTTAAGTGACTAGTGAAGTGATCCACATGCCTCCTCTACATAAATGGGTCCTGATTGATTTTACTACCAGAAAAAGTAAACTTAGCTTACTTATAATTATTAATATTAATTTATTATTAAAAATTAATAATTTAGAATAGGGCATGGCAAGAAGGGAAGGCATCTGACACTGAGCCGACAGGAAAGGGCGAGTATGGGGCAAAAGTTATAGAGCTAAGCCTCGAACACCCACACAGTTTTTTAGTTTATCTTGCTGATTATTGTCTTGGGACTGTATGGGTGTGTATATGTGATTGATTGACACCTGGTCTTTGTCGCTTTGTTACACCTGTTGGGCAGGACAAATATACCTCACCATCGTTGAGATTTAGATTTGTGACCTCATGGAGTTTCATCAAGCTTAGCCCACCCTAAACCTGAGCAGAGGTCTAATCGCCATAATAACTGAAAAACCTGTGTGGATGTTACTGAGCCTCTAATTGTATTGTAATAGACTAAGCCAAAGCTGTCTCATTAAATTTTCTGCAGTTTTAATGCCACCAGGTCAGTCCTCTTAAGGATGCCCTTCGCATGTTCACTCTATACATTGAAATGATTTTGAGACATTTAATTGAACTTCAGGATGCATTGATAGCTTGGTCAATAAAGCTGATCAATGCACTAATAATTTGGAATTGTGTTTTAGGACATATTGCACAGACTAATTAAATCATAATGTCCTGTTTTTTGAAAATGTATTACTTTGTCTTACAGGACGTGGTGTTTTGCCCTACTTATTTTAAGGAGATTTTGTACTGGAATACAGAGGAGACATGATAGATGATGCAGAATCTCAGGGAAGGTGATGACACTCATCAGTTATAAATGCTTCATTCAATGACAATGTACGTTGACATGCTTAATCATAATAATCTCCTTACAGCTCATAGTTAAATGAAGGCACTGATTGTGTTGTATGTTGAAACCAGAGTTTACATACACTATAAAAGCGTACCTTTTTTTTCACTGTCGGACATGAAATCAGTTTTCCTGTTTTAGGTCTGTTGGATTACAAAATTATTTCTATCTGCTAAATGCCAGAATAATGAGAGAAGGATTTTTTAGACAATCTTTTATTATTAGAAGTTTACTACACTAAGAATACTATGCCTTTAACAATTTGGGAAGCCCAGATGATGATGTCATGTCTTTGGAAGCTTCTGATAGGTTTATTGACAACATTTGGTTAATTAGAGACACACACCTGTGGATGTATTGTAGGCACACCTGAACGCACTGCTCTTTGTGTAACATCATGGTAAGTCTGAAATCAGCCAAGATATCAGGAAGAGAATGGGACTTGCACAGTCTGGTTCTCCTTGGGTGCAATTTCCGATGCCTGAGGTGCCATGTTCATCTGTTCAACAATTATACGCAGTATAAACACCATGGGAATGTCCAGCCATCATACCGCTCAGGAGACGGGTTCTGTGTCCCAGAGTTGAACGTGCTTTGGTCCGAAATGTGTATATCAACCAACAGATGATGCTGCCATCCCTCTATTTCACAGTTGGGATGGTGTTCGGCTTGCAGCTCCCCTTTTCCTCCAAACTTAACGATGGTCATTATGGCCAAAGTTTGATTTTAGTTTCGTCGACCACAGGACATGTCTCCAAAACTAAGGTCTTTGTCCCTGTGTGCATTTGCAAACTGTAATCTGGCTTTCCTATGTGTCTTTTGAGTAATGGCTTCTTCCTGACAGAGTGACCTTTCAGCCCATGTCGGTACAGTACTAGTTTCACTGTGGATAAAGACACACTCTTACCAGCTTCAGCCAGCATCTTCAAGGTCTTTTGTTTTGTTCTTGGGTTGATATGCACATTTCGGACCAAAGCACGTTCAACTCTGGGACACAGAACCTGTCTCCTCCTGAGTGGTATGATGGCTAGACACTGCCATGGTGTTTATACTTGCGTATAATTATTTGAACAGATGAACGTGGCACCTTCAGGCATCTGGAAATTGCACCCAAGGATGAACCAGACTTGTGAGTCCACATTTCCTGATATCTTGGCTGATTTCTTTAGACTTTATGAGTGTTACACAAAGAAGCAGTGCGTTTCAGGTGTGCCTTACAATACATGGCCACAGGTGTGAATGTCTCTAAATTAACTCATATGTTGTAATAAACCTATCAGAAGCTTCCAAAGACATGACATCATCATCTGGGCTTTCCCAAATTGTTTAAAGGCATAATAATCTTAGTGTATGTAAACTTCTGACTTTGAAGAAAGTAATAAAAATGTTCTAAAAATCCTTCTCTCATTATTCTGGCATTTAGCAAATAGAAATAATTTTGGTAATCCTAATGGACCTAAAACAGGAAAAGTGATTGTCTAATTTCATGTCAGACAGTGAGGAAAAAAAAGCATATGTGTCTTTTTATACAGTGTATGTAAACTTCTGGTTTCAACTGTACATATGTTATGATGGTAATCTATTGTGAATCAGAAGTCCCTAGCAGTTTTATGTAATACATCTAGAAAGCTGATGGTAATGGGATATTCAGGACAGATTTTAATGGTTGATGGAGGAGGAGGAAATATTGAATTTGATGATTTTGTCGTTGAAGTTTCGTGCCTGTTGGCTTGAACTTAACTTTAGAAATTTGACATTAAGAACATACATTAGTGTAATTAAATATTATGCAGTGATAACATCGGACTTAAACTTTTTTCATATTTTGAAATGTTTGCAGATGACCATGAATGCAGCTGATGCTGTCATTCCTGTGGAAAGCTCCCAGCATGCTGTCTTGTTAGAGACGCAGATGACTGAAACTTTGAGTCCATGAGACACTAATCAACAGGTACATTCATGTTTAGCACTTAAACTTTACTCCTAGAATATTTCTAACTCACCGTTTGTTGCTTTTTATGCCCTTTAAGCAGGTAAATAAGCTGTTTTTTTAAATGCATCTAGAAACATAATGGTAATAGGATATTCAGGACAGATTTTAATGTTCATAGGGATGTTACTTTTGATTAAATATCACTCTATTCTGGGACATTCACGACGTCCCCATAGCACATCTTACATCAGTGTATGAATAGAAACTGTGTGTTAAGTATCTGACAACCTAGAGACTTGGTCTAGCATTGGTCCCCATAAGGAACCACGACATGGTGTGTGATATGTCCCCACTAGCTTGTTTATTCAATATGTGTGAAAACAGGCAGAGGTTGATGGAGGAGGAGGGAATATTGAATTTGATGATTTTGTCGTTGAAGTTTCGTGCCTGTTGGCTTGAATTTAACTTTAGAAATTTGTCATTAAGAACATGCATTAGTGTAACTAAATATTATGCAGTGATAACATCAGACTTAAACTTGTTTTTCATATTTTGAAATGTTTGCAGATGACCATGAATGCAGCTGATGCTGTCATTCCTGTGGAAAGCTCCCAGCATGCTGTCTTGTTAGAGACGCAGATGACTGAAACTTTGAGTCCATGAGACACTAATCAACAGGTACATTCATGTTTAGCACTTAAACTTTACTCCTAGAATATTTCTAACTCACCGTTTGTTGCTTTTTATGCCCTTTAAGCAGGTAAATAAGCTGTTTTTTTAAATGCATCTAGAAACATAATGGTAATAGGATATTCAGGACAGATTTTAGTGTTCATAGGGATGTTACTTTTGATAAAATATCACTCTATTCTGGGACATTCACGACGTCCCCATAGCACATCTTACATCATTGTATGAATAGAAACTCTGTGTTAAGTATCTGACAGCCTAGAGACTTGGTCTAGCATTGGTCCCCATAAGGAACCACGACATGGTGTGTGATATGTCCCCACTAAGCTTGTTTATTCAATATGTGTGAAAACAGGCAGAGGTTGATGGAGGAGGAGGGAATATTGAATTTGATGATTTTGTCGTTGAGTTTCGTGCCTGCTTGAATTTAACATTAGAAATTTGTCATTAAGAACATGCAGTAGTGTAAATAAATACTAAGCAGCGATTACATCAAATTGAACACTTGTTTTTCATATTTATGTTTACAATTACAATATTTTAGATGTAGTTATATTTTAAGGCTGTCTTTCAAACGTAAAACAAGTCAATGTTTTGCCTAAACTTACAAATCGCAAATGTTGTAAATTTGATTTGTCCTAATTATTCAGATTCATTTTCAAGGTATATTTTGTGACAGCACAAACGGTGTGTTTGCAGACAAAGGAATATTATCTATGTTCGAAGTATAAATTCACCAGTCGACTTCGTTTCAAATATTTTCTTGTGTTTAGACTTTGCTGTTTTTAGGACCATTTGTTAACATCACTACTCCAAATATTTAAGTGTGTGGAAAAGTATAATATAACATTTGATTAGTGGTTGATTAACACTGTGAATTTTAAACAATTTTAATTGTATTGTCTAATATAGTACACTGGGATTGTGTTCGTTCAGGATATATGTCTAGTAACTTTTTTGTCCTTAGATGAAGGCACAGATGTTGAAGATTCAATGAGTATCCGACTCTATACAAGTTTGTATTGTTGCTTTCAGTTTTGTCTTGAGAGAACGCAAATGAGCAGGACTCAATAAAAAGTTTAAATGTATAATTTAAATGAGAGTTTGACTTCTTGAACTAACGAAATTATTTTTTACTATGAGTAATGCAGCAAACAACACAGACAAACATGAATACTAGTTTTAGGGTTGTTGGTATTCTGTGACTGAGGTACAATATTCCACAGTTTCTGGGTAGTTGACTGTGGTTAAAAATAAGAACCATGTGAGACGTAAACGAAGAAAACCCTTACAGTGAAATTAAGGTTGAAAAGTTTGATGGGTGAGACAACAATTTAGTAATTCACTACTAAATTCTTGGTACTTAAGTGCCCCTGATATCGATTAAGTTAGAACAATGTCTCTAGTATAAATGATATGTAAATTTTGTTCCATTTATTTGTATAACAAATTGTATGTTTCCCTGTTTTCGCTATAAATAAAAATAAAAAGTATATGTGGTGTCTGGAATAATAATGTTATTGTGTGTATGTACAGTATTTTTGTGCAGTTTGTGTTTACAGTGTGGAATTGTGATTCACAACAGTATCCAACCCTAAGAATCTTTATATTACCACAAACCACGAGAACAGTAGTCTTAAAGCTTAAAATACACTTTTCTTTATGAACATCTCCTAATAGACACACTTTCTGCATTAATTTTGGTGCTGCTAAAGTAGATTATATCATTTGATTATTGTGGTTTAATTTGCATTTGGTCTGATGCCTGTGGATAGCAGCTTGATAACTTTATGAAAATCTATTATTAAAGACATAACCTGGTTGGTAGAGGACAGCTCCATTGCAGCTTCATAGCGGTTTACAGTACGAAGGAATCACAAAGTGGTTATATTATGCACTGCCATTTTGTAGTGAACCGTGTGGTCAAAAGAAGACAGGTAAAATGCAATAATCTGAGGATTATATCACTTAAGCTTGTTGTTTTACCATGGTCCCCATTAATCAATTGGAAATCTGTAAAAATTATGCAAATTATATTTAAATGAGGTCCCCCACAAACATGTTTACTCGATTTTACATAGGTCCCCAGTTAGAATGATGAAAACCTTACTGCATCAATTCAATATTTGAAGTCGTGTATGGTAACCAACCAATGGTGAGTGTGCCTTTTTTTACCTACCTCTTTAAAGCATGGTCCCAGCATCATGTGTGTGTGTGTGTGTGTGTGTGTGTGTGTGTGTGTGTGTGTGTGTTGGGATGTTTTAAAAAAATTTTACTTAAATCTCTAAAACCAAAAAAAAGAGGGGTTTTTTTTTTGTGGTTGTGGTCACCCCCCAAAAAAAAAAAAATTTTTTTTTTTTAAAAAACAACCCAAGGGGTGTCAGTCCCTCCTTGTCCATCGAAGTCAAAGATGCACCTTTTAAGACAAACAACAGTGATTAAACACACACACTTGCACATCCAGCTGTTGAGCATTCACTGTCATTTCTTGGTGAATGAGATTAATGGTGGATGTTGTTGTAGCTCACCTTTAGAAAGCAGGAACTCTACAGTGCTCAGGTGACCCTCACAGGCTGCCACCATGAGTAGGGTCCTGCCCTGCTTGTCGCTGATGTTAATGTCAGCACCTTGCTGCAACAGCATCTCTCCAATCTAGGAAATGGACAACAGCAGACGTCAAACACATCCAGGAGCAGGGAGCTCACACAAGACTTTAGTTTGTTTATTTAGCAAGGACCACGATGAACCTGTGTCAGGAAACAATTAGACCGGAGCTAGCCTCGAAGGGAAGGACATAAAAGCTAGACTGTACAACAATAAAATACCAACACATTGTTTACAAGAACACGTTGAGGTGTAATTGAATTTGAAGCAGTGTGGTTGCTGTAGATGCTAAGGGACTCTTTTGTCCCTCTGTATGTCTCACCTGCCAGTGTCCCTGTCTGACGGCGCAGAATAGAGGCGACACCCCCCGCCGGTTGACCTGCTGCACCACCGCCCCCTGCTCCAACAGGAAGTTGCATACCTCCATCTTCCCCCGGCCTGCTGCTGCTGTCAGGGCTATGAGAGGAGAGAACACACACACACACACAGATGTTAGGAGTGATGCCGGCTAGACATCTTTATTTAGATTTATACAGAGGAACAAGTTAAGGAATGGATACAGCAGGCGGTGAGATAAAAGTGGAATTCAAACCACCCCTCTTAACAACAGACACTGTAGAGCAAGAAGACGAGTGAACACGATAACATGCAGAGTCCACAGACACTTACGCAACATCCCGGGTCTTTAGTAACCACCAAATATGTGGAAAAGACAAGGCGGTGGATATAAATAGTGTTTGCGATCCCAGAATCCTTCCTATTCTTCGCAGAGCAAAGATGAGTAGAGAAATGCAGGCTAATGTTTGGTGCTAATTGAGTTTAAAAACAGACAATTATGTTATGCTTATTAAACTCATTAAATTCCCGCCTCAAGCTCCCCAGGCCTTGTACAGAGAGATGAGAATTCAGTCATTTTATGCATCAGCAGACAAACATTAGACAACAAAGTCAACCAATTCTGTTTAACACCCATTCTTGTTTATATTTAGAATCTTTTTAAGACCACGTTTAACTGGAATTAACTGTGTCTAATTCATTTTTAACAAAAAGGGAAGAAAAAAAAAGAATATTAATTGGTGCTGTGAAAAACAAAAAATAAAGAGAGATTCTTGAAATGTTCGATGCTTACAGTTAATCAGCGGCTGCTGATGTATGGGAGCAGATGGACCGGTCTTAAATGAGCGCTGGTTGTCAAAACAGAGTGAGATCCACCGTACGAATCAGAACAGCTCTGCTCTCAAATTCACCTCAGAGATTTAAGGTTCTGCTGAGCCTCCATATCTGACTGACATCATCCATCTGGATAAACAGTCATCAGAGCCAAACAACCCCGCCCTCCATCTGCTCAGAATATGGATATCCTCACACACAGCACAATAAAGAACAATGACGCCGAGCGGCTAAACTTAGGCTGTGTTTGTGCTCGAGGGAGTGACATTAGCAGCACCTGGGACGGTCCTGGTGGTAACAGCTGTAAAGCTTGTTGATGTTTGACAGTGACGCCTGTTTTTACATATCTCACTTATGTTAATTCTTAGAAGTTCTTCAGGCCAAGTTAATTTATTGAATTCTTCAGAGTGAGATTTCACAAACACTTTTCTTAATGCAAAGATCATCTCAGAATTCCTGCTCTACAAAGAAAGAGCTCCTTTTTCTGACCTCATTTATTGTTTCAGTCTGACTTGATGCTTTAGTATTATCAATAAAGGTGCTTTATTTTATCTTATCTTATGTTTTGTAAGCTATTCATCAGCCTTGTCTCAACTCTGTTCTAGCCCACCTACAAAGGTGCCTTGACACTGTCTTGAGGAGGAGACTCTAAATCACTGTCTTATAAAAACAGGTTTACAAAGTGAACTCATAATAATGTACTTATCCAACACTTCAACATCGGGCTGCAGAAACCCGACCAACAACAACAAAGGTTGTGACCTGGCATTTCAACCAAAGCAGATAGCCCTTGCAGATAAACATTTTTACCAACACAGACTAATGGCTCTAAATAATAATTTACTACATTTGGGGATTTTTCAATTTGTCCTTTGATGTTATTGTATATTTATATTTTGTCAGTGTGAAATTCATCCAACAGCTCAATTAAGTGTGACTCAATAACTGACAGACTGTCAACTGCAAAAGAAATGCAGGTAAATTATAAAAGGCAACACAGAGACATTGATTCTTTTCGTAAAATGGCTTCGCCTGAGGACGCAGCAGATGCTCAATAACATAAAAAATGCATTTATTCAGAGCACACAGGCAGACTTAAATTCTATTATGTGAGAAGTTTTCTTTTACATTTCACTACCTCACATTGGAAGAGAGAAATTACTGACAAGAAATTAGCAAAATCTCCTGCAGCTCATAACAGGTTGTTTTTGCAGCATTAATTAATGCTCGTATGATTTCCTGTTCACAAGCATGTTCGTTTGGATGAAGAATCTTTTCTACAATCGCTGATAAATAAAGACCATAGAGAAATATCTGCTCATCAGAAAACACTTAACACAGAGTTGATTTCGGCGCACGCAGTAAAAATGCAGGTGTCTGTCACTTGATGCGAGAATAAAGTCCATCTTCCCCCCAGGCACCTGAGCAAACCCACAAATAGCTGCAGGGTTAGCTCATGCTGTGCTCTTATTATACAGTACGTACACTCATACTCTTTGTACATATGAAAGAAAATAACAGCAGAGCCTTGTACAGAGGAAGAAGGGTTTCATACTGTGCATAAATAAAACGCTCATGCCAAAACGATTTATCATTTAAATGGATGATTGCCATGACAACAACTGACAAGAATAATATATACAGAAGTACCCACTAGAAGCAAAGCAACAAAATATTTCACAAAATGATATATGATTTACAAAAGATTATACTACTGCAACACAGGACTTGGTCCTTGCCTTGAGCCAATCCTGCTGCTGTGTGTTCACAACAATGAGGAAGATTCTGTGCAGTTAAATTACCTTTCTTTGCATAACGGAGAAGAGTTTTGCATCCTAAGAGGGGATTTAAAAAGAGGGAGCTCGCACAGATGCGCAATCCAATCTGCCTCTATTGAAACACAGGAGACAGTGGGCCTATTTGCATAGAGATGTAATATTCCATTGAATTTTAAATGTGAAATAAATGTTCACAGACACAAGGTTGTTATCTGAGAATTGTTTGGGAGACAACGATGAATGGCCAGTCTTAAACTGGATATTTCAGGAGCTTTGTCAGTTTTGGTATTCTCTGCATCAGAACGCCGGCTGGATTATTAAATGTGCACGCTGAATGGCAGAAAAGGAATTTGAGGTGAAACTGAGATTTAATATATCGCTCAGTGCTTATCATTTCTGTTGTTTGCATTCAGCCAACATGAGTGGAGTCATTTTTACTGTCTGTAGTGAACAATGTGGCAGCTCTACCTGTAACACACCACTAAATATTCACTTTATGTCTGCAGAAAATGCCTCTTATTTTCGAGCATGACTCACTGGACATAAATCAACATTGTGGGCATAACTGTGTTTACTAACCTATTTTTCCTGAATGCACAATGAACCTGGATCTCGTTTTTAAATGAGTGCCAGGTGGGTGCAATATTTGAATATGCACTCATGTCAAGGATTTGTTTCAGGTCAGTGGTGCCACAGCTCAGGGTTTAGCTACGTGTGACCCAATATTTTATTACTTTAGAAGGCATGTTCAAGAGGGTGCTGGCTGTGATTTAACATCCACTTTGTAAATGGGGCGGAGATGTTAATAATGCAGCAGCTACAGGTGGCTCCAATGTTTATGGAGGCTGGGCTACATATCAGGTTTAGTAATATGACCCTTTGGACAAATGTTGTTTTCAATAATGAGAAGGCGGGTGTTGTGATTGTACCAGAACACAGATTCCAGTCCTATCAGTGCAAACAGAACCACAGCTCTATAAAGGCATACTTCAGAGGGACAAGTCTTTGTCCCAGCACTGTAATAAGGTCTGAAGTCCAGCAGTCATTTAGCAGGGCACAAGCACCATTTAACCACAATGTGGACAGCCTCTCCACTAATAGGCTGACCTACATTCCTGTAGCACCAAACTTTAAATGCTAAATCCTGCTGGCTTACAGACAAAGAGACTATTATTAAATTTCCCATTTTTTGTATCTATTCTTGCATCAAAAGCATAAGACCCTGTCAAATAAGAAGGGGTGTGATTTGAACGTTTATAGCTCTGGATCACTTAAAACTCTCAGAGCAAAAAAGTTCACATTGAAGATCAGAGACAACATTTCAAACGCTGTGAGTGCCTGAAACTTACATAATGTGTCAGAAATATTTTTAGTGCTCAAACTGGAAACCAGAAAACAAATATTATGACCACATCTCGGTGTACATTGATAATGAATATAATGTACAGCTACAGTTCATGTATCAGCACATCACCTTTATAATGGCTAAACAAAATGTCTGGACCGTTTCAGAGGGTATAACATCTGTCAAACTAAATATCACTCTCAACTACTTTGTTCAGCCTTCATGTGACCAGTTTTACACCTGACAGACACCTCCTGCAGGCCATTAACAACAGCCATTGTCCACAACATCTACTCCTGATTAACAAACTCCGTCTCGCACTTTCTGTCATCACTCAATTTTAATCAGGCAGAAGCACAAACTTCTCAGTAGTCTCAAAAAAAAAAAAGTTCAACTAACATCAACTATGGTTACAGGCTTATAATCAATGTTATTAGACAGTAATACCTCTGGTATACCTAAATATGACCAGCAATGTATACAACAGATGGTGGAGTAACTTCAAAATGTCCAAACCGTTGGCAGTATCTTAACACAGAGCACTGAGGGAATACTGCAGCTGAAATCCAGCAGCATGTTGGAAAATCATTGTTCAAAAGGAAATGCTGTGTTGACCAAACTCTAAGCAGAAACCCACATGACCCACAATAAGTAATGCTTTTACCAGAAAGTACAGCACAGGAAAAACGTGGAACAGCCATAAAAATTGCGCACACATTTGGGATGAGAGACCTCTACATCAAACAGAGAGAGCATTACTGTGCAGAAGAGAGATACAAGACCTTCCACTGCAGCATGCAATTATGGCAGTGTGGCCCAGAATGCTAAAACAGCAAGTGATAATACCAGGGAGCCACGTAATGCAAAAAGATGGATGAAAACATACCTGTCTCTCCCCACAGAGTGTCGTGGCTATCAATTTGCACAGCATGCTCATTATTCAACGCCAGCAAGCCCCTTACAACCTGCCAAAAAAAGGAAACTCAGATTAATGGCATACTGTTTCAGCATAAGATATCAAATAAACCTTCAAGAGGTTGACAACATGCTAATTGTGTAGCAGAATAACAAAAAAAAGGGATATCGATGCCTGAGCAAATAATTATCAATCACATCAGACTAGAGAACCACTGATATGAGTTTACGTGAGTTGAGTCCAATCTGATTAACACTTAGACTTTAACAGGGTCTCCTTCTACATGTGGGTTGACAGCTTAGTTTGACCCAGTTGTGTTATTCTAAGCCCATTCCAACTAATAAAGAAGCCAAAGTAAACCTTGAGCCTGCAACACACCTGGGCAGCTGAAGTGATCGATCCCTGAATCACGCTTTCAGCCATTACAAGGCCGAATAACACATCCAACTTAAAGTTATCATCACTGAAAACAAGACGTGCTCAGTTTGTATCTATTGTTCCCTCTGCTCAGGAATTTTTTTTCTGAAAGGTTGTTGTGAAGACAGGCGATATGCACTGTTTCGAAGCAAGTTTCAAGGTTTAAATACATCTCCTAATGTAGTGAGTTACAGTTTCATGAACAGGGAATAAAAACCTCTCCGGAGTTTCTTTATCATATCCTCAGGTTCATTCATTGTTTTATGTGTAAGGGGGCTGGCGTGGGTTGCTTGTGTGAAAAGTAAAATACGTGCATGTGTCAGTCAGTCGGACCTGTGTGTGTCCCATGCTGGAGGCCGCTATCAAAGCCTGCTGCAGAGCTTTGTTCTTCAGAGCGCAGTCCTGCTGCTGCCCCTCAGCACTCCATTCTAGCTCCAGCAGGTACTGGATAATCTCTGGGTGTCCTCGGAGAGCAGCATGAACCAGCGCACACTGGCCACTCTTATCTACATGATCAACCTGGTGGAAAAACAACATGGTGAGTTTTATTGCACTGAAACAAAGGAAATACGCCCCAACACAGGGGGGTAAATGTACCGTATGTTTAAACTGAGTGCTGCTCAGTAACGTCTGTGCAGGTAGATATGGCTTCAGCTCATCTTTATGCACAGAACTAGAGGGTTAAAAAATATTAGCTCCTCACCTTGGACCCCCTCTTGCAGAGCAGCATGACTAGTCCCAAGTGTCCTGCAGCGGCTGAGAAGCACAGGGGGTTCATGCCATTTTCAGACACCACGTCTACGCTGGCCCCGAACTCGAGCAGCAGGGAGGCAATTTCCTGGTGCCCAAGGTGGCACTGGACGCAAAGCACCGGCGCGTTGTTCAGCACTTCTGTACGGTAATTCACATTTGCCCCACCCAGCATCAGCAGACGGCTCACCTGATTTTACAAATGAAAATGCAAACACAGACAGCTGGTTTGAAACAATGTTATCCAAATGTTACCATCTGTGCACTTGTATTATTTGCAAAACAATCCTGTTTTATTGCATTTGTAAGACCTCTTGATTCGGATAAGGAAAACCCAGCTGATACCTAAAGAGGACCAACAGAGGAAGGAACCCTCTCCCAGGATGGACGGACATACGACAGATGTCCAGTGTACAGTACAGACCAAAATAATATCATACAATATGAAAAATAAGGGTGACTAAATTATAAGACAGACTGTCAGCGTATATGTAGAATATTATCTGAGAATCCTTATGCACTCATTATTCCTCTTAAAAAGTACATTATAAAATAGATAAAATATTTATTCCACACTATTTCACAACATTACAGAAGGGAATTACATTATCTTTACAAATGAAGTTGAACAATACACAGCATAGTTTGTAATAATGAAAGTGCAACAAGAGGTGGGGATTAAACTATTTGCTATGCCCATAAATGTGTCCAATTTATGACTTTCAAGGATTTGTGAACACCGTGGTCAATGGACCAATTGAAACAGCAGATCTCATAATCTAAGATACATTTAGTTTTCCCCTTGTAACTCATTCCAGTGCAACAGCTCGTATTGCTTCAGCCTATTGTTGAGATTTTTCTCCAAGCAAAGGTCAGGCTCCAAATGAAGTGGTCACATTCTACTGAATGCAATTACTAAGTGTGTTATTCTCTTTCACAATGGGAAAATCAATAATAAAAGCTTAGTCGAACAAAACCACAAAGCCAAATGAGTATCCGACAACAGGAAATGAAATGGTGTGTTATTTGTTGGATCCACTGTGGAGTAAATTAACAGCAATTCTCTGTCTTTCCCAGAGGACAGAACAAGGTCAACCTGAAAATGTCTCCTTGAGTGATGTAGCACACAATAACTCGCAAACAGACAATGGTGATGGAACACCACTGAAAGCTAAGAAAAAATGTTGGATAATTTAGCTTCAAGCCAGAATACTTCACTGCGGCAGGAAAGACCAGTAATTTTCTCCCCTTCAAATCTAAACTGGATCTACGAACTTTAACTTCAATTTATATTTCTAATAAAAAACTTTTTGTCCTTATATTACTTTCTGTCCCCCGTTTATCTTGTCCTGACCTTTTAACTCCTCACATTTCTTATTTTCTTCATTCATCCTGGCACACATTTCATCGATATCCACTTCCCAATTTCCTGCAAACATTTCTCATTTTCCCTGCTGCTTGTAGGAGAGTAAGAAGGCCTGGGTAATATCTGATACATAAATGTCTAATCACAGAGTGAAACAAGCAACTTTTTTTTACTGAGCTACTGAATCTATCTGCCATTTTTAAATTACTTACTTTATTTTCTTTAAATTACTTACTTTAAATTTGGTATCCAGATTGAAAGCGCAGTCTGCCAACCATTACTAATTAACTAACGTAACATTTTTACTAACACGCTTGTTTCATTCATTCATTGCTAACACGACACATGCACACCGTGGATTGATCATTGTCCTGAACACACTGAGACATGTCCTTATCATTATCATATAAGCAACAAGGAAAATAGGACATATTGCAAGAAACACAAGAAATGTCAAAAAAGGGTAATGCGAGAAAAATTCTAATTATTGTGAAATGTTATGAGAAAATGGTAAATGTGAGGAAAATAGCAAATGCTTTGTAGGCTGAAATGAAAAATTGATAAAAGGGCTGGTGAAGAATAAAAGTTGGAGCTTTAATGTTTTTTTATCTTCTATTTAAATTATGTAACTTACTCTGGCTCTAATTATTTGTGTATTAATTTACCCGCCTGTAAATGGCATTTGCTTTTGGCCTCGCTGACAAGAAATGTCCACGGATCAAGCTAATGACAAGAAACATGATGCATCAGTCTAGGATGATGAGCATCTTTGTGCTGCTTTTCATGGTGGTTTCCATTGTTAATCTGTGCAGAGCTCACACTCATCTCCATAAGTACGTGTAAGAAACAGAGTGTGACATTTATAATAATTCACAACTTAATTGCCATCTGTGGAATTACGAAAGCATTCAGGGGGGACATTAGTGGACGTCAGATGTCACTAATAATGCTTTGTATACTAATCATGAAGTGTGGTTTGAGAGTTTTAGGGAAATTATTTGGACTCTGAAGTGTGGAGACTGTCACCATGAGGAGTGTGTGTAAGTAATCTATCTATTGTTTTTATTTATAAACTATAACTATTAACACTGAAAATCTATATAAAAAAATAACAATAAGTGTCCATCATAAGTTACCGGGGACGTGATAAAACTGAGGAATCTATTAATCTAGCATCTATTAATATCCATTTTCATCATCCAATCAGGTAACAGGCTGTTAGTTTCAGGTCCAACTGACAGGCAAGAGCTGTAGAAGAGTTTGGGAACATCTTTACCTTGACGTTGGGTGTGTAGAGATTCCTCAGAGAGGCCAAGGCTGCAGAAAGGCCATCGGCACTGCTGCTGATCCACAAAGCCTGCAGCACACTGGATGACACACCTGTTTTCTTACTCAGGCCCTGCACACAGACACACACACACACAGACACACACACAAACCAATGCATATTTGAATGCACAAAGACACAAACCAACATACATCAAGTCATGGCTTATCCTCTGGTGTAATATACTCACATGATACATAAATAAGCAGACAGTGAACAACATTCCTAGAGATAGATTTCAATCAAAGAGGAATGCACAGAGCATGTATGAGTCCCACAGCTGTACCTTGAAGATGTGCGCTTTGAGGATGTGATGTCCCAGTTCCATGGTCTGCTGCCGATTCAGTTTCCCCTCTTGGCGGGAAAGCATGAAAGCCATGAGAGCATGGCCGGTCCTGCATTAGGAAACAGCAGAGGATGCTCAAACAGAACAACAGTAAAACACTTTTGTTGTGTAAAACTTAATGTCTTATCTGGTTTTCTGCTTCAGGAAAAACTCTGGATGGTCATTTTTGCCACATGTAAATTCTGGTCATGAAGAGCACTTTGGTATTGTCACGGAGAACTAATGCGTTCTGTAAATAAATGCAGAGCAAGATGCCCAACTGAAGGACGGGGAAAAGTGTAAAACCCCTGGGTTCTCATTTCCTTCTTCACTTGGGAACTCTGCCGTTAATTAATGCAGAACTTCATTAAAAGGACATGCATGATTGCAGATCACTTTGATCTGGTTTAAATTCTCTCTATCCGTGCCCAGGCACAAACAGAGAGGCAGTGCAGCAAGCTTTTGTCCGCATGTGCACTCCCTGTGCCAGACTCTGAGCTTTTGTTTTTTTAATGACGGAGTTGGAAGGCTGTGAATGTGCAGAATATGAAGCTCGGCTCTGGTCCATTTAGAGACACCACTGTGTGAGCAGAGGTGATACTGAAGAGCAACAGGGAGGAAAGAAAGCAAGCTTAAGTGACATCATCCAATTTATTAAAGTGTGAATGACTGAAGTCTCTAATGTGGGTGAGGGGGCTCCAGAATTACAATTAGGTAGTGTTACTAAAGCAGATAAGCCTGTCCAATAGGGCAAGAAGGGCACGGCAGGAAACAATGATAATTTTCTGCAAATTGAAGACTCATCTGGAAATTTCACAGTCTATTTCCTGAGGACTGATTCAAAGGTCTATTTCTAATATATGCTTTTAGTTAACGGGGACACATTGGGAGGAATACTCACTAATGACATGACATTTACTAAATTAATCACATACGTTTTCGACATCCAGCTATTTCAAACTAGGCCGGCACCCACTGCATCGCTACCGACAGCCAAAGCTAAAGTAGAAATACTGAGAGGTTTATTTGATGGAAATTCAGACATATTATCTGCGGCAGGAATCGGTGGTGTCCTTGTTGATTGCTACTAACAAAATACAACAAGTTGCAATACAGTTAGCAACTGCATCATAAATAGTGGGTTACAATAAATACCTATAACATCTCAAACTATATTCATGTACTATAAATAACTAATATTAAGAACCACACTGAGAAGTGAAAAGTTCATGAGACTGCTGTCTGCTCTGTATATTGTTTGTACTCAAAGGGCTGAATTTCAAGCAGTGCTCCGAGACACAGTCTCAAAATCACTGTCAGGACATTTTGATAAAAAGCTTTTTTTTTTTTTTTTTTTATGAATTTGACTACAGCCATGTAATTATCATCATGACTTAATTTGTACTTGGCTACAGATTGTTTGAGGTCTAATTGCGATGAGTTGCAAGAATATTTTTTGAGATCCGCTACAGACTTGTCGTGCATGTAATAGTAGCCCACATTCCTAAAGGGAGAGCTACTGAGTTAGTGCATTTGCTCACAAAGCAGAGGACTGACCTGGGGTCACAGAGGAAGTCTGTACTCTCTCCATCAGCTCTCCACACCAGCCACTCTCTAAAGGAGGGGTGGCAAAACATGCGTGTCTTGTCCCGCCGTTTGATGAGGAAGCAGGAGAGCAACTCCATGCGTTGTTGGAAGTCCTCCCATGGCAGCTCTCCTTGGATGAAGCCGGCGTTGATGGCCTGGAACAGCTGCTCATCAGTCATGGGGTGCAGTGAGGCAAGCGCCACATTGAGGATGGGCAGTGAGCGCTCAAAGGCTGAATTGGTCATGAACTTCATGTTGCACTGTAACTGGTAGAGCTCAGCCAGCGAGACAGGCACAACTTTGTAGCTGGCACTCTTGATAACTAGGTGGCCCCTCTCAAATAGATCCAGGGTGAGTTTGAGATACAGGTAGGAGCCCTGGCTGCGCGAGATCAGGTGGCTACTGAGCTTGCCAACTGTGATTGGGTCGGCCTTGCCGTTCAGGCTAATATTGTTCATGATATCCTTGCTGCCATTGATGCGGTACTGGATATATGCATTGAGGTCGTTGCTTATCTCTTTGTTATCAGAGAAGTCATCCAGGGAGATCTCAGAGAAGGGCAGGAGGCTGGTTATCTCCTATGGAGGAGACAAGGTAAAGACGTAAGAACATATATTTGCTTCTGCTTAATTTCCTTCTCATTGCAAATTAGCCTGTATTAATAGGAAAATGTCATAACAATATTTTCTAGTTAGTCTCTGCAATATAAACTGTATTCCTTATCACCACAATAGACAAATAGAAGAATTGTGGCTAAATGCATTCTTCACATCCTGAGACCTGCCATTTGAAAAACATTCCGCTTGTGTGCGTTCGCAATCAGAGGACTGTCTTCGAGCAGTAGGGGAGCAAAGACATTGAGCTATCAGGCCAAAGCAGACACTTGTTACCGTTGGAAATATGGCTGCAAGAAAAAAAACAGGACTAGGAAAGTGAGTATTCAGAGGTAGGAGATAGATGATGGAGATAGATGGGTGGTGGGGAGGGGAGGGGGCGACAGGAACACTTCTAGAAGAGGTCTGAGCCAGAGCTCACATTTCAATCTATGTCCTGGGGGTTGGAGAAATCAATGCACCTTAATCCTCCAATCCTCTTCCTGTCTGAGGCTAGAGAAACATTGCCTCAGTGAGATAAGACTTCTCTCTTCCTCATCATGACAAGGTACAGCAAACAGACACACAAACACATGTATCCACCCATGCACAGAGTCACTGAGATGCACCGATCATAATCCCTGAGGGGGCTCAAGTGCCAGCAACACCTCGCGAATAGGCCAGATATTAGCAAGCAAAGGCCAATATCCTGTGCCCTACCTCCTTTGTGAAATCCTAGTGCAAAACAATAATGTGACACTTTCATGACACCTCTGTGCACAAATATGATGCCGTGGTTGCAAACTGAGAAGCATTTTTATCATGTGACCTTTCCGATGCAAATTGAACGATTTGTCCTTTTTATCTGCTACTCATTCGCACAATGTTCAGAATTCAGAGTTTGTGACACAAATTCCCCTCAATTAAAAAAAAAAGCTTCAACCTGTCAATCATAGCCCTTTCGCAGAAATGTTTTAAGCTACAATGTGTGCAGTCAACTGGAACATCTGAAAAAAATCTTTCCACACCATAAACTGACCCTGACAAATTAATAAAGGTGAATACATAAGAGCAGAATACAAAATGTCAGAGTTACAATAACATTGATTTAGCATATCCAGAGAGCCTTGGCATGAACCAAACATTAATTCTCGCTTGCAGCTGCAGGATATAAACGAACGGGTTGAATTTGGTTTGTAGTGCAGTGCATACTGATGGACACTACCGCAGCCTGGCTTCTGCCTGAGCATTAATAACTTGATTTCTGGATGTCAGTCAGTCACATTATTATCCCAAGCTCAGAGCTTCGTCCCAGTAAAGAAAATCTGCCATCGCGTGTCAAAGCCTCAGCTATCGGCAGTGTGAGTTCAACACATTCCCAGCACATCTCTGTAACTGGTCGACCTAGTGTCACTTTCCCTCCAAGCTAGTCAGCTCAAAGTGACTGACTGCTCCTTCCCCGCCATGCTGCCTTGATTCCCGGGTCACTGATACTTCAGTTTCTTCTTGAATGTTCCTAGATACGCTTGGCAAAAATGACTCTGTAGAGAGTATAGCGTGACAAGGAAATGCAGCTCAGGGAAGCCTTTCAACTCTCACAGTTGTCAAAATATACAGGGTTTGATGTATGTGTCAGTGAGAGCATCAAGAATTGACAGAGGACTGGACTTGAGGTTTGTTACATTCTACAATTGTAGAAACTAGCTAACCTACTGTAATAAGCCAATAGGAACTTAACCCAAGCTGCTTAATTTAAATGTTTATGATGATGACAATTCATTCGTATTCCAAAAACACATAAACCGATCAGCTATACATTATGACCACAGACCGGTGAAGTGAATAACACTGATAATCTTGTTATCATGGCACCTGTCAGTGGGTGGGTTATGTTAGGTGCATTGTAGTTTGCTGCGTAGCCACAGACCAGTCAGGGTTTATCACCATAGTGTTTTTAAATTTTACTTATGAGCTCTTCCTTACCAGTAAATTGACCCGGACAGTGACCACCAGTTTAAGCCAGGGGGGGAACTTGGCAATGATCTTAGTGATGAAGGAGGCAATGGTGTCTCCGTAGTCAGGCTTATGAAACTCAGCCTCGTTCAGCCCGTCTATCAGGATAATGTGGTCCTCCTCTGGAATCCTCCGCTCTGGGAACATACACACAATAACCAACAAGGGTAAGACAATGTGCAGTGAGGAACAGCTCATAACCGTATTAGCTAAACTTAACTGCCCGTGGTGATTGTGCAGAGAGCCGTCTTGTTTCAATGCAGTAACTAAACCCTCTCTCAGTGGTGCGGTTAGAGCGAGTGGTAAGATTCATCAACTACACAGCCACTTCCCACACTTCACTCCCTACTAAAATGTCAAGTTACATTTGCTCTGTAAAGAAAACATTTAATACTTTCAGTAGCAGCTGGTTGAGTTACTCTGGGAAATCAGAGAGATTCTGTGTTATCATAAGTTTGTAAAAGCCTTATTTGACATTCCCATAATATTTGCAAGTTGAAGTGTCACCTGACACAGCAAATTAAATGAATACTTTTGTTACATTACATTAAAGTTATTTGGCGGAACCTTTATCCTATACACATGCATGTCCAACAGAATTTAGTCGCATATGTACAAAAATGATATGGATGCTGTCAACACTTCTCAGAAGGTTAAGTGCTGTGTCATCAACACAATGTTTTCTATACTATACATTTCCTGGAGTGCTGTGGAGTAACATACGGCTGTTTAAGAATAAAACAGGAAGAAGCCTGCAAACATGAAATATTGACATATTATATAATAGTGTTTTACCTTTACGAAGGTTGGCTAGTGGCTCAAGGACTCCCCTCCGGAAAGCGGCCATTGGGTCTTGGACACAGGAGCGCAGACTGAGCATGCTCTGCAGGTGGGGCTCTTTCAGCAACAGCTCCCGGTATGCACTGAGCTGATGTGCTCTGCACAGCAGGGCAGCAATGCTATGTACAAACTCTGGAACCAGGCAAGTGTACGTGTTATCCGCCTGGCAGTAGTGATATGCCACCACCTGGAACACAAAGTGAAGGGGAAAAAAACAGATAAACAAAGAGTTATTTCAGACTTAAGAAGAATTAACGACATGTTAGAGTAATAAATGAAAAGCGTAAATTAGGTTAGGCTTTAGTAATGAAAAATATGCAAATCTGGGAACATTCAATAACCTCAAAGCATTTGCAGAAGCCAGCAGCTCTTGTTCACAAAAAAAACCTATTTGGTGGATACAGTGTTCAGTCTGATGCCCTTTTACATTCACAGCCTCCATTTAGCCGCATATTATCTCTTCAACCAAGTTAAGAACATGACTTTATCCATCCTTGTCTACACAGAAAAGATTATAAGGTAACCAGGCAATGGCTGACCACCTCAGATAAACTACTATAAAAAGGAGCCAGTGGATCCCAGATGGAGTTCTAAAAGAAGGATCCTCTGTGTCTGACCAGGTTGCTGAAATGTTTAAGGAGGTCTGATTAAGAAGGAAAAAGGAGGGACAGGGATGGGGAAGAAGGCAAGAGAGATGCCCTGAGGACGTATGACTCTGTTCTAATTACAGTCCAACCTGGAGGAGCTGACACACTTCCAGCAGGAGGAGGGCAGGTGACCTGTTCCTCCACTGGCACTACCTCTGCTGCTGCTGCCTATTGCTCCATCAACAATAATGACAAGCTTCTGGAAAAGAAACTGGCTAAAGCCTTTTTTTTTTCTGAGGTGGCACGGAAGGCTTGGTCCAAAGTAGACTGGTAGGTAGGAGACAGACATTTTTGCTTAACCTCCTTCTTCGACTTATACAGTAATTTCATGTGATGCATGACTCAAATCCTTCCTGTTGAATCATGGCGGTCACACGGATGAGCATATTATTGCAGGAACACATTCTGGTCTGGCAAATCCTCTGCTATATTGTATATACTGTAATCTGGGGACTACCACGGTGGCTTTTAGCTAAAATGTAGGATGAAAGTAGCCTGATAATTAGACTGAACTGGCATTTCACTGAAATAACAGACATTGACAGTGATTTATCCGTTTGAAACAAGGCTAGGTAGGAACAACGAAACCATGAACTTTCAACACCACTCCAGAGCCTCATGATGCCGGTGCAGAGAGGACTGTGATTCTATCATGTAATTTAAGTTGAACAAAAGGAACTTTGTCTATGGCACATTTTACCCCTATCTATCACCACAATATCAACTAGTTGTCTCCAGATGTGCAGGCTTTACAAAAGTAACAAAAAAAAGGTGTGGCTTTGCAAAGCTAATGAGGTAGTTTGTCAGAAAAGTAGGTAACTCAATGAATATTTAGCTGAATCTAAATGCACCTGAAAACGAAGAAAATGATCAGAAGCTGTATTTTTTATATAGAAGTTTCTACAAGTAAAAAATATAACAGCCTTTAACTACCATTAAATTACATTTGCTTTACATATCATAAAAAAACAGAATAAGAACTGAATTAACTGGTTCACATATCTTCACAAAAAACATTATCAAATATTACACTACACTGAGGGATTTGGTTTGGTGAGGTTTGTACTTTTTATATGTTTCCTAAGCCATGATGGCCCACAAGTTAAGTTATCTGTGATTAATTACACACAAAGAACAGGGCTGTGATGTGATGATTGACCTTAAAAGAACACAATACTCCAGTCAAACGACTGGGAGAAAACAGGGACTGTGGAAGACTTTTCTCTTGGGGCGTTTCATGTGTCACACAAATTGAGGGCTTTGTTGGAGAGACGCGATAACAAAGCAACAGATGGAAGCTGTGAAATTACGTTTAGTAAATACTGTAAATTAAAGTAATCTGCTGTTTATATAAACACAATAGCTTTGGATGGGTGCCTGGCAAAGAGACTGCAGTTAGTGTACGAGTAATGTAGACTACAGCTTCATCAATGAACAATAATCTCAACAAATGATGTAATATTCTGCAGTACTTCATCTACCGGCACAACAATGACTTCACTGTTGAGAAACAATGCTTAAGAAATGTGTCATAGGAGTAAGACATAAAACCTGCAATAAACCATAAAATGTAATGGCCTCAGTGCCCCTGTTATGAGACCACTTTTAAATCAATGATTAAAAAGAACTGACAGAATTTGACAGAAGCTGCTCAGTGTTGCATCAGTATTCACACATCACAGGAACAGAGCCCCTGTGAGAGCGCCTGTTGGAAACACTTTACACAATAATTGGTTTCAGGGATATTGCTTGGGTTTCATAGACATTCAGATGAGCCTCACAGGGATAAAGTCAGCTGTCTGGTGCGTGAACTTTAGCGTTCCCATAAACAGAGGAAAACTGCACAGTCGCTGTGTTGCACCCCATTTCACAATTGACGAGACATGCATGACAGGGCAAGAGTGTTAAACCCCTGAAGGGACGCCAGGATATAATCAGTAACATTAAACATGAGGACAAAGCAAGATCAATGACAGAGTCCGTTGAAAGAGTCCCACTAGAAAGCTGTGCCACCTATCAACAGTGCTGCCAACCCGCCATCACAATGGTATTCAAATCGAGTGAATGGCATTGTCTATCAAAATTATTCACTGAAACACAATGGTCCCCCATCTTCCTTGTTAAAACAACTCTCAGCAGGGAAAGCAATGCCACAGTTATTAAACTCCTCTGAAGGTTTCAGTCAACTTCCAAAATGTACTTAGCATGCAGGTATTGCACGGTAAGCCACCCATCACTGGTGTGCACTCAGTGGTGCTGTTTCATAAACACATGAGAAAAGGTTTAGTCAGTAGTCACTAAGGGTGCAGGAGAGAAGAACAGAAGATACGTTTCTGCCACTGAAATTATTCCATTATGCTGATACAAAAAGATTAAGATTTGATGATTAGAAACTCATTGACAAAAGCGCACCACTATGACAGCATCCCCAGAATGTGGAGCCAATAATTATAAAACCAGAAGACAGCTGCAAGCAGCAACTCCACGAACCGCACCAAAGTGAATTAAGTAGAGAACATTTCAGACAGGTACAGTGCTGACTTGTCTGCCCACTGAACAATTTTGACCATAATCGCAGAAAGCATTGTAGAAATGTGGTCCAACTCTGTTTGTGTCTTTGCTGCCAACTCTGTCACAGACAAGTGGTCTACAATAATGATGACAGTGTTGCTATCTAAAATGCAGGAATGTTGTAGCTGTTCACTTGCTACTTTAACAAACTTAAAAACCTGTTTTATATTGAAAAAGCCCCTTGTTTGCCTCTTTCACCAGTAATACATAGTAATACAGGACCTTTTATTGTAGAGATTGTATCTAACTCAGGGCAGCTATATTAGATCACAGCTAATGTTTAAAGTATGTAACTGTTCTTAGATACCTAAAAGAATCCCAAATATGCAGACTTTCACAAAGAATGCAAAGGCAGGGACTAATGGTAAGCTCTCTTCTTTCTAACTCCACAACTTCACATATTTTTCATTTTCAAGTGGTCTGCAGCCCTAACTGAAGCTCACCTCAAGTGACATCATGATACGAGAGATAATTTATCAGATTTCAGGCAGCTCCACAAAAGGCTTTATTCAACTTTTTTCACATATATCCTTGTACTGCTAAACACCTGTAACCACGCTTTAATGTGGAAAATTAGTGGAACCCCAACATCGCTGTTTTGCGTCTGACTTTAAAGTCATTACCAATCTCTCTCATTTCCTGTCATCTCTCTACTGTTGGTTGTCCAATAAAGGTTTAAAATGCCTCCCAAAAGGGAAAAAAAACTGTCTTCTGTGCACAGAAAACAATAAAAAGCTACAGACCTTAGACACCGTTTTACATGTGTCGCAACCCGTGCTGTTTAATGAAACATAGTTAGTGATGAAAGATACAGCAGCTAAAACGTAACCTTTAAAGGATGTGAAAAAGACTCAGATGAGTTTTATTTCAGAGAGCTGACCTGAAGTAAATGTCAGACTGCACTATAAGAAAAAGTGTGCTATTTAGGACAAAAATTCAGATTATACGGTGAGTGTGTTCCCATGGCAGCACAGAGAAAGACCCTGTTTTCACCCGACACAATGCAAATGTCTTCCATCTGTGAGCTAAAGACCTGAGCCTAAGTTTTCTATCTTCCCACTTCCTCGCAGTCTCACTGCAGTACTGACATGCTGTGGACATTAATATTGCTTTTCGTGGTCAGGTCTTAAACTACGCTTACTCCTTCTCAAATCAAACAAGCCTGTGATATTAAGGTCTCTGAAAGACCAATGGTGGCACTTTCTTTCATAATGTCAGCAGATCGCAAATTTCACAGGCTGAATATCAAACAAATAAACATAAACAACCATAAATCCTATACAAACACATATAAACATAACTCAACTGAGCTGAGCCGGTATCAGGCTTCTGCAGCGTATCTCATACATACTAAAACCAACTCTGCACACCATGAACATCTTTGTAATAAGGAAGAGGATCACTGGCAAGAACACATAGGGGGAACTGCAAAAGGGGCAGATATATACTGTCCAAAAAAGAGACGTTTTTAAGGATAAGTGAGACAATCGTTTCTTCTTCATTCAGGTTTCTGAATAAAGTGATTTCTCTTGAATGCTGAGGGACAATATTGGCTAAAGTTGTACCTTTGCAGCCAGGCGTTTGACAGCCTCCTCCCTACATCGCTGCATCTCGGGGGTCCCTGGGCAGCTGTTGGTCCTCAGCGTATTGGTAGCACTGGAAGGTGGAGTGGGCTGCGGTGGCTGGCTGAGAGGAAGTTCAGTGCTTGGTCCCCCACCACCTGGAAGACACAGACAGATACATTGTCACATACGTATGTAGACATTTAATAAATGTAGACTAATGTGTTCTTATTTTTTGTGAAATCAGTTTAAGAGTAGTTAAGGAGATATGATTTTATATTGTTCTTGGATATATCCTCATACACTTCCACTAAGGACAAATACTAACATTGATTACTTTTAGGGGAGGCACTGGGACTGTTGGAGGCGATCTGGCGCATGCGGCCTCCGTGGCAACTCAGCGCTACTAGCCGGGAGATAATGGCCGTTTTCCCATAACCCACGCTGCCCACCACTACAGCGCCATGGTTCTCTGTAGACTCGCTGGCCTTCAGGACATCTTCCAGCTGCTGAAAGAGCCAATCTCGGCCCACAAACACAGAGTCTGTGGTAATGCTGGGCACCTCAAACAGCAAGGGCTTGAGCATGATGTCCATGGGTTTGTAGGGAGCGAAACGCGCTGTGGGAAAGGGATAAGAAGGAAACAAATTATAATTATAATTGTGTCATTATTTGTCTCGCAAAAATATGCAGTGTCAGAGATACTGCTTTTTAGACAAAGGCATGAAACATGCGTTAGTTTGCTTTTGGAATTAATCCCACTTTCTGTCAGCAATACTAAAAAAGGTTTTCATGTTGAAACATCAATCATTTACTGTAAGCTCTTCTGCAGCCTCTGAATGATGTGCCAATAACACAACCACACATTGACATTATTGAACCTTAGTTCAGCCTGGATTTATCACAGAATAAATTCCTCTTCTATCCTTCAAAGACAAACATGCATACACTGCCATGTAACTGTATGCAACTTTTTGAGAAATGTTCTTCCAGAGTGTGCCACATTCATAAAAAAAAACCCTGAACATTGAAGTCTTATAAATGTGTATTTTTTCAATGTCTGCTTTGGCTTGGACAAATGTTCCTCTAAGTAGAATCACAATGTAAGTGGACATGAAAGAGGACTCTCTATCTGGTCCACTTCAGCACTAATTAGATCTTAGAACACTTGTTCACTCAGCAACTTGTTTAAAGCTCTGATCCTCTGAAGCTCTGATGGTGCTTTTACAACGATTACTCATACCTCTGTTCTACTAAAAATAACCATACCTTTGGTCTGAGCATTTTTATTAGCTTAACAAAAGCGTTCGCCACATTTTCCCATAAACATTTAGACTCTTTTAAATACGTTTTTTTTTTTTTTTTACTTTTGTGTTCTAAATCACAAATCTTGGATACTTAAGTTTCCTGGAAGGCAATAAGACAGGATACTTTTCTGTTCCTCTGCCCATCTTTAGTTTAAGTTGTTTTTATAGTGAAAAACATACTACACAACCCTATTACACAAGTAATGGAAAGGATGCATTTAATAATTCTACGTTGGAAAGACTGTTGGCAGGATGTAGGACAAAGAATGAAGTGCATTCATTAAAATGATTATTAGATGTTCTTCAGTGTAATGATTACACACATTTGACATGTAAGTGTAATTTGTTTTTACAAAAATGACAATTTTTGTCCTTATTAAAGTTCTAAATAGGACAGACACATTTCCCCTAACACAGACTTACAGATACATGTGAGGTTTAATACATTTATTTATAAAATATTCTGTTGGTCAACTGCTGGCAGACTTTTGACCTGACCTGTTGTATCGGCTATGGTGGTGTGTCTTGCCCACACACCTCTACTACGAGAAAACAAACCATATGTCATTTCTTCACTCCCTTAAGTTTAGAACAGTGACAGCAGTTTAAGACTGTAACTTTAAATCATGCAACTGTCTGAAGTCCCAGGCAATAATGAGAATAACTAAACACATGCATAGAGACAGTGTAGAGTCTGAACAGACATGGACTATTCTTGGTGTTTCTTCTGCAGGGATATAAAATTGAATACACTGACGTGATGCTTCTGTATCAACTTCATGTTTAAAGAGGTGTGGAAAAGGAAGAGGTCGTTTTTAAAAGAGGGTTAAATAGTTTGAGTATCTAATGATGTCATATTAAATTATTCATGTTCTCATCAAATATTCACTCTGTGGGATTTCTCTCAGTGAGACTGAGGATTCAAAACATATAACCAAGATAAAGGCTTGTGAGCAAAGGAAATCTTACATGATTTTATCTACAGAGCTAAATGTCTGCAGGAAACATGCTTTTTGATGGTACAGTGTGGCATTAATATAAATCAGTGGGACAGTGTTAAATCAGTGTTTATAATACATACTGCAAGTATTTGGACAGTTTCATTTGTGGTTCTGCACTTACACACACAGACTGGATTTTTAAATTAAACACTGACTATGAGGTTAAAGTACTGACTTTTAGCTTTTATTTGAGGGTGTTTACATCCACCTGAGATGAACTGTGCATGGATTGCAGCACATTTTACACATAGCTCTAAACAGTATAAAGAGCTACAATTCCTACACCGTTAATATAGATGTGACTACACCAAACACCATTAAAGCTGAAACACAGCACTTTATCCTCATAGCAGCTGTCACTGTTTCATTTGAAATCCAATGTACTGGAGTGGAGTCAAAACAATGAAAAACATGTCACTGTCCAAATACTTACAGACCGCACTTCATATTCTTCAGTAAACTCCAATATTACCATGCCTTTGTTTTAACTGAATATGAGTTTCTTTTAATAAAACAGTTCTTACCATTTTACATTGTGCCATCAGTAACATCAAATATGTGAAAGCTGACATGGCTGACACTACGACTGACAATAGTAAAACATAAATATATTAGCTGATTTGTTCTGTTTTTTCCTCTGATTGATGTTGTGTATCTACGTCGATAACTCATAGCACAGTCACCTTTAGAGTCCTGCGGTGGCCTTCCTCCTGTATTATGCCAGGGTAGGCGAATGGATGTCCGCAGGGGGGTGTTGCGCTGTTCATCAAGAAAGCTCAGGTCTTCCAGCTTTGTGGAACTGGTTGCTGTAGACAGACAAATACGGAAATAAAGAGAAAATGAAGCAGACGCTTTGGTACATCGACTATAAAGACTAAGACAAACACACACAAGAGTTAAATTTTGTAGCACATTTGACATCTCTGAGAGAAGGTGAGTGAGGAATAGGCAAGCCAGTACTCTCTGACATTTGTAGTTTGCTTGAGGCAGTGTGTGCAGGTACCAGTATACTGTAGCAGAAAGAATAACAGTAACCCTAAGTCAAGACTCTTTATCTTTGATTTGAGCTGACAGCTACACACAATATAGCAGTGAGAGGTCTGTCCCCACAAACACCCCTGCTGGGATGTACAAAGAGGGCCTATTACCTTTACCTTTCTTAAAAATACAGAGGGAATAACCAATTGGAGACGGCTATAGAAATATATATATAGTTACAGGCTGACTGTTATATTGTTAAGAAATGATTCATCACTGTCAACGACTTGTAATTTCAGGACATTTCAATGTAATTTTACCACCATAATGCAGAACAAACCATGATTATCAGCGCACAAACATTCAAGAACAGGGGAAAACAGCATGATCCATTTGAGAACAGCATCCAAATTACTGTTAATGTTATACTCGTTCTGCAGAAAAGAAATCTTTCTAGTATAGGTTAATCTTTTAGCATCTTAAAATATAATGGACCTAGAAAAAAGTCTCAAAACATAAGAGGTTTTCAACCACCAAGTGGAGGATGTCTCCTTCTGACATTAAACTCTATGGGCGAACTACTTGATGAGCCAGTCTGAACTACAGCACATAGTCTGTAAACATAATAAAGATGTGCATTAGTGCAAAGCCTCTCTTCCACTTGTTGTTCACTGTTCAACAATTTTATCACCATGGTGATCCATGCTCTCTTGGCTCTGTTGAAGAGCAGAATCAAAGCCTCTGCTTTCTACTTTAGCAGCCTCAGCTGGGAGAGACTGTCACAAACACTCAACTCTTCTCTGCACTCCCTCTCTCCCCTCACTTGGTCGCTAACTTACTCTCTGGAATGTCCCACTAATTAAAACTTGTCTGCTGACAACAGAGTCACTGAGGAAGCTGCCATCAATACAACTTTGACTGGAATTAAAGAAGGCCCTCGTGATTACTTTTACTGAAGTGGATGGTGCTTTCACAATTAACTATAATGGACGAAAGCCGGACTTATAACGAACAAAGTAAAGAAATAAACATAGATGAACACATAATTTGAAATCCATCAAAGCCATACAGCACTAATACTTGAGCAAACCTGATTCTAAAGCTAAACTGAATAGCTACTTACATCCACGGCAGAGCCAGGAAGGACAGTGGGAATTCTCAAAGCCCTCCCCTTGTCCCCAGCATGGAATTTACTTGGGCAGGCATACAGGCAAGTAGGCAGGGTGCAGACCCTCAGCTAAATCTCTGGAGAGTGCTCCCAGCGGATGAGCTCACCGAGGGCACAAAAGCGATTCCTCTGCCCCAGTGCTCCCATGCAGGCACACTGACAGCATTCAGCTGCTGAGCAGAGGGCTTGGCTGCCCCCTCTCAAGCGCTCAGCCAGTCATAGCATCCACAGCATTAGACACTCGCTTAATGAATCCAACGCTTGCCAGTGTGTCACCCTCCCAACACTCGCTACACAAATGCATATACCTCTGTCCGTGTGCTGCAGGTATTTTCACGCACACACAAAATTTTGGTAAGCAAGCAGCAGAGGGTGAAAAGGGGAGCAAATTGGAGGAAATCTAAAACCAAGAGATTTAGTCTCCAGTGGCTGATTACAGTTTGTAATGGGCAGCTACTGTAGCTGGGGTGACGGATAAGACATGCAGAAAAGAGGTGGAAAAAGCAGTAGATGCATAAATAATGTAAAAATATGACATGGATACTGTAGTGGTTGGGAGGTGGGGGCAAGGGAGATGTGTGCAATGATGAGGAGAGAGAGAAGATAGACAAAAAATCAACTCTATGCAGCAAATCGCCACTGAAGCACAATACTGACACGTGGAACACAGAAGGAGTCTTTCTCTTTTTTTTTTTGTCCTCTGATTTCTTTAAGATTTCTGAAGTGGAAAATGCAAGAGCAACATAGAACATCATTCTCCGCCAGGCCCGTGGGTCCAATAAGCAAAGACTGAAGGAAATACTCAGTTGGACTTGCTTAAGTGGTTTAAATGCACACACTCAATCATATATCTTGTTATCCATGATTCTTTCAAGGCTAAGAATTCCCACAGGAAGCCTTCATTCCCCTCAACCCCTTATTACAATTCAGTTTCTGCCCTCAGTCTCCAGATTCCTTCCTATTCTTGCACATCTCTACTCATTGATAAAACGCACATATGATCCCTTGAAGTCTGTGCTTGCAGTGACTTTGACACATTTGTGCAGCTTCAGACTGTATTCTGATGAAAATGTGGTTCTTTTTTCCTTAGGCAGGTCTGCCCTTTGAATCTGTCAGTTCTGTGTTTCTCATGACAGAACAGAGAAGAAGGGTGAGCTCCTCTGCTCCAACCACTGCCCCCCTTATCTCCTTGACTTAGCTCTGCTCTCGTCTTCATCAATGGATACAATCACTACATCAACTTGCCCACCTTCTCGCCTTTTCAAGTTGCAGGGGTTTCATTGTAACCATTGTGTGACATTGTATGAGTAAGCGTGAAAGACAGTTTTTTAAAGAGTAAGGCTGGAAGTTCTGCACGGTCACTCTAAAATGAAAGGCAAAATATTTAGTTGCTGTAATACAAATGGGAGTCTGATTCCCACTTTAATAAGTGTAGAGGCGATAGAGACAAATTATCACTTTGATAATTACCTCTGCATGATGTTGTAAAATGTACCTAATTATTCAAACAAAAACAGATATGAGAACTATGAACCTGGAAAACCTGATATAAGAAAATAACATGACATAGTCAAAATATTAAAAATACCTCATTACCAGCTCTCCATCCCTATTAGTGATAACAGTGTTTCAGAGGGTGGTGATTAATGTTTGTTGTTATTGTTAATATGTTTAAGATAATATTTCAATTCAATTCATGCACACTGTCAGTTTCAACTTGCCTGTTTATGTCATAGCCCTATGTCAGGGACAATAATTAGAATTGTGAAGAATAATTGTTCATTTTGGAGTAGACCAAATTTGCTGTGCTTTGATTGTATGTACAGGCATATACAGGAGCCTTTCTTTATTGTTCACTTGAGCTCGCCCCCCAATGTTTGCCTTAAACTACCTGTAACATTAATCATCTATAAAACAAAACCTAAACAAACCTTCTGAAGGGTGAAGCTTGTTGGGAGAGTGCACAGTCCAGGAGAACAAACTAGACAGACCTTGACATTCATCTCAGTGTAAAACAAACCCCAGCAGAATCACAGTTGTTGCTGGCCAGGTCTCATTAAAAATCAAGCCAAATATTATCAGAGCATGCAAACAACTTGCCGCCTAGGTTAGACACAATAATTCTACAACGTGATGTGATGCAAGTATGATGGTGAGTAATTCAGTTCAATCACTTCCATAGAAATGTGTAAAAAAAAACAGGTGTTTACAGCCTTGCTAGCAGCTCTGCCAGGCTGAACTTAGAAACTAGTGCTTAAAACCACATACAATGACAATGTTAACAATACTAACATCCTGATGTTTAGCAGGTATAATGTTTACCAAGTTCCCCGTCTTGGATTAGCATGCTAACATTTGCTACTTAGTGCTAACAACAAAATACCACTATAGGGCTGCATCATATGGTAAAAATCATACTGCAATTATTTTCACAGTTTCACAATTGCGTTATGATTCTCAACTAGTGGAAATGATCATTTTGCATCATAAATTAAATTTTCATTGACTATCTAAATGATAATGTGACATTTGCTTGAGTCTGTAGAAAACCACAGTTTTCTCTTACAGGTAGCAAGATTTGTAGGCAAGAGCATCTCTGCAGCACTACAGTACTTCATAACATACATACTTATAAGAATATGTTTAATATAGTACTTATAATGCTGTTTTGTCACAAATGTATTTTATCAAAAGATTGCAGCTTCTGCGATTTGGATATTGCACTTGGCCATACTGCGATTTTGATAATATTTTCATTCATTGTGCAGCCCCTACAGGTTTGGCTATAAAGCATATACTTCTGAAATAACTATATTCTGCATTGTACTTAAAAGCACAATAATTTCCATTGGAATAGCATGCACAACTTGAAACACTGAGCCAAGAGCTACAGCTAGGAAGAAAAGAGACCTCGGAGATCAAGATATACATGCCGTCATAACAGTTGCATAGTTCCTTGACAGCTATTACGTAATTCTCAATAGTGGGATGCTCTCAGTCAAACTTAGCCAGATGGCTATTCGGTGGCAGAGGGTAGTTAGTTAACACACTGTCCCTTTGAGCCTGGGTATCTGGCAAGTTCTGATCTGTAAATGGGGTGCCACTGCAGAATTTTAAATGGCTCTTCAAAACTCAAGCAGATTGATCTGCCATGTTTTTTTATTTTGCTCCTGCTGTGACATAAAAGGCACCAGCAATTCTCTGAGAATGTGACCTTTTGAGAGAGCTGGAGGATATGGATGGGTTATCTGTTCTTTTTGCTTTCTTTTCAACGTGTAACTAAACGGATCAATGTCTACATAAAGCCGGAGGCGGAAGAGAATTCCATGGCTACCTGAAGACATCACAAAACACTGTCCAAAAATTACTGCAGAGATTACTGTCTCAAAATCTGGAGAATACACAAGCTTGCAGCCCATCAGATAAAACAAATACATCATGACTTCTTGTTACAGTACTACAGAGACACTACAGCATACCAAATTTAAAAAGGCACAACCTGTCTTCATGCTGCTGTACTGCAGCACTGCACAGTTACCTGATTTTTATTTTTATTAGAGAAAATAACTGTCTGGCCTTCACAAATATCACAGATTGTGTTCACATGGACCAGCTGGAGATGACTTACATCTTTTTAATAAATCCCAGATGCTAGTTGCA